GAAAATGAATGCAGGTTTCAATGAACACAACTTTAGATGATGAAAAGTCAGTGTTTTGGGGTATATTAATATTCTGACTTTGATCAACTTTTAACATTGAAGTAATTTTGACTTTGATGAATTTTGTTTACTACCTCAGATTTTACTGTTTTAAAAACCTAGCAAAGCTTGTAAATGTTATCTTTTATACTATAACAAAAGGACGGAATTGTCAGCTATCACTGTGAGTTGAGACGCAGAGGACAATGCAGAGTGGCCATGAATGTTTTCGATGATTTTCCCCTAGTCTGTCATACAGACCACGAAACACCGGTGCCTCTTTATCTGCAAGTGTACATGAAAAATGTAATTGGGCATTTATTTGCTAGTGCTCTATTTATACAATTCTATTGTAATAGTGTCTGGTGGTCTTAAAAATTCTATATTGATGTGCAACATTCATCAAGTTGGTTATATGGAAGAATATGTTGTTATTTGTTATGAATTACCATGTCAAACTCAATAAAAGTTGGTAAAGAAACTGAATTAAATTTTATGTTTAGGGTGGCAATTGTTTTGGGTGGCAATTGTCCTGGGTGGTAATTGTCCTAGGTGGCAATTGTCCTAGATAGACTATGGGTGTTCTTTACATATGTTGAGTGGTATATGTGTAATTTACTTATGAAATTGAGACAAAATATTGCAATGAGAAAAAGCTGCACTGCATCTGGGCCAGGCACGTTATTTCAGTAACTGAGAAGTAACTTAAGTCACATGTTTTTGCAAAATACACAATGATATAAACACAGCTCACTCTGTCTCTTACCAGTGCCTTAATTACTTTTTTTTATCACTTTATTTCTTTTGGATCTGGGTACAGCATTTCATACACATTTAACAGGTCGGCATATTTGTAGTACATAAAGCAAGTCAAATTACAGCAGAGCTACAGATAACCATTTGGGTTATTGAGTTATGTACTCGCTTGTGTTCATCTGAATAGGGTATCCTAATTTTCCTCTGAGTAACCAAATAAATTGTTCCCACCTCACTCAAACTCAATTGGGTATTTTGCCATTTTCCAGTAATTGTGAAAATATAATAAAGAGCTGGTGGTTATATATTTGATCTGTAATATGAGAAAAGATAAGGAAGACTGCAAGTTGCCAAGTTCATGTGCTGAACCTCACAACATACCTCAGTTATTCTATCTACCCTCAGTAACCTCCATCTGCAGCACGTGGGTCTGCTTACATCAAATTCTAGTAGGTTTGCTGAATGTTACAGTACGCAAGCTAAGATTTGACATTTTTGTGTGTACAAATGCAAGATTAAATTTATTGAGCATTTACAAAAATACAAGCGTACTTGTACGCATAAGACTTAATAGGAATTGAGTTTTCACATAAATATTTGCGTACTTTACGCAGATACACAACTTATCTGTACCCGTTACAGTCATTATCACCTTAACTAAATTATTATGAGTCATTACTATCATCTCAATATTGTTACATATTTTAATTACATATGTCTTTTTAATGTCATTTCAATAGGTTTAAACAAACAGCCAGTCGATACAACATACTGTATAAATGGAGAGATAAGAGGGAGGTTTATAAGATTATTTTTTTTTCGATTTTTGAACATCACCGTCAATGCAATGTCAAGCAGAGCATTAAAGCCTTTTTCTCTTGAGTATGTTTTGTGAAGCCATTATAGGAACAAGAATTTGGAAGTGTTAATTTCCTTTGTGAGGCTTTTTTTTCTGCAGACTTGTGGCATGTTCTTGTCTGAGCAGGTCTGGGTACATCTGTGTATGAACATGTGGCCAGTATCAGTACAAATTCTCCTTCAGCTGGTTCCACTTCCGACACAATGTCAACACCACATCATCTAGGCCACAACCTCTTGTAATGTTACAAATACTGACAGCGGTCTTCAACTGACAATGAATGTTGGTTAATTTTTAAATACATTAAATGTTTAAATAGATTGTATATATGCACTAATAAATTTTGTCTGACAGTACTAACATGAGTCTTTCGATGGCAACATCTAAATATTAAAGTTTGAACCAGATAATCCAGTGAATGACATCATGATCATCGGTCTCCGCAAATGGGACTTGATGCCTGCCCACATGATTCCATTAGGCATGTCTAACAACAAGCATGGGCTGATGAGGACCGGTCTTGTACACTTTAGTGAGTGAGTGAGTTTGGTTTTACTCCGCTTTTAGCAATATTCCAGCAATATCATGGCTAGGGACACCAGAAATGGGCTTCACACATTGTACCCATGTGGGGAATCAAACCCGGGTTTTCGGCATGACGAACGAACGCTTTAAGCACTAGGCTACCCCACCGCCCCTTGTACACTTTAGAGAACATTCAGATATGTTTAATATGACCAGCAACAAAGACATGACATGTCAAGCTATAAAAGTGTTTTGGAGTCTGAGTCCATACATGCATAATTTTCTTAAGTTAGTCAAGCAACTAGAAATCTGTTACACTTCATCATTTAACACATACAAATAGGATCCCGCCATAATAGTTTTAATATATAACCAATTAAGAATGTTGTTTTATCTACAGAAAGTGTTACTATAGACAAGGTAAGTGAATACAATGTCATGGCAAATGGCAAACAGCACTACTAGGTATCCAGATGAAAATGTTTCTCTCAGCTAATTTGTCTTGAAAATGATGATAAAATGCTCTGAAATGCAAGCAAATTCCAAAATTTTATTGGAGGCTTTGCCCTGAACCCCACTCATGCACACGCAAGATTCCAAGGACTATGCGTTTTAGGAACACAAAGTTTTTTATTACCACGAACACTGATGGGGGGCAGCACCACTATCATCATGGCAGTAACACACACACGTACATCTGACAGAACAGCAACCAATTAAAATTCAAGCAAAAAAACCACTAACTATGAACACTTGTGTGGAAAATAAACCCGTCTACATACAGTCAATGATGGGTTGGTGTAGATATAATGATTATCATTCTAAAACATTCAGCAAACATCTGTTATTACAAGTCCTACTTGCCCAATCTGCCTATCACAGGACCTCACCAATGTAGGGGAGATAACCCAGTGCACACCTTCACTTACCATGGTCAACATACGGTAGTAACATAAAATCCTCATTGTGAGTTGTCCATGATTATCACATTGATCTCTCACTGGCAACAATACACATATAAGATTTGTAACAGAAGTACTGCAGTACCTGTATCAGTAGGGGAGCAGACAACCCAGCTGACTGTGATGTAACAGTACATGATATATACAGTCCACTGTGGATCTGCCCCAGAATCACTGCAGGGACATTCTGTGTGTATAACCCAGCTGACTGTGATGTAACAGTACATGATATAGACAGTCCACTGTGGATCTGCCCCAGAATCACTACAGGGATATTCTGTGTGTATAACCCAGCTGACTGTGATGTAACAGAATCACTACAGGGTACATGATATGAGACAGTGAACTGTGGATCTGCCCCAGAATCACTACAGGGACATTCTGTGTGTATAACCCAGCTGACTGTGATGTAACAGTACATGATATATACAGTCCACTGTGGATCTGCCCCAGAATCACTGCAGGGACATTCTGTGTGTATAACCCAGCTGACTGTGATGTAACAGTACATGATATACAGTGCACTGAGGATCTGCCCCAGAATCACTACAGAGACATTCTGTGTGTATAACCCAGCTGACTGTGATGTAACAGTACATGATATATACAGTGCACTGTGGATCTGCCCCAGAATCACTGCAGGGACATTCTGTGTGTATAACCCAGCTGACTGTGATGTAACAGTACATGATATACAGTGCACTGAGGATCTGCCCCAGAATCACTACAGAGATATATACAGTGCACTGTGGATCTGCCCCAGAATCACTGCAGGGACATTCTGTGTGTATAACCCAGCTGACTGTGATGTAACAGTACATGATATATACAGTGCACTGTGGATCTGCCCCAGAATCACTGCAGGGACATTCTGTGTGTATAACCAAGCTGACTGTGATGTAACAGTACATGATATATACAGTGCACTGTGGATCTGCCCCAGAATCACTGCAGGGATATTCTGTGTGTATAACCCAGCTGACTGTGATGTAACAGTACATGATATATACAGTGCACTGTGGATCTGCCCCAGAATCACTACAGAGACATTCTGTGTGTATAACCAAGCTGACTGTGATGTAACAGTACATGATATATACAGTGCACTGTGGATCTGCTGTGGATCAGAATCACTGCAGGGATATTCTGTGTGTATAACCAAGCTGACTGTGATGTAACAGTACATGATATATACAGTCCACTGTGGATCTGCCCCAGAATCACTGCAGGGACATTTCTGTGTATAACCCAGCTGACTGTATAACCCAGCTGACTGTGATGTAACAGTGACATGTACATATATACAGTGCACTGTGGATCTGCCCCAGAATCACTGCAGGGATATTCTGTGTGTATAACCAAGCTGACTGTGATGTAACAGTACATGATATATACAGTCCACTGTGGATCTGCCCCAGAATCACTGCAGGGATATTCTGTGGACATGACTGTGATGTGTGTATAACCCAGCTGACTGTGATGTAACAGTACATGATATATACAGTGCACTGTGGATCTGCCCCAGAATCACTGCAGGGACATTCTGTGTGTTCTGTGTGTGTAACCCAGCTGACTGTGATGTAACAGTACATGATATATACAGTGCACTGTGGATCTGCCCCAGAATCACTGCAGGGACATTCTGTGTGTATAACCCAGCTGACTGTGATGTAACAGTACATGATATATACAGTGAACTGTGGATCTGCCCCAGAATCACTACAGGGACATTCTGTGTGTATAACCCAGCTGACTGTGATGTAACAGTACATGATATATACAGTGCACTGTGGATCTGCCCCAGAATCACTACAGGGACATTCTGTATGTATATACTGTAGGAAACAAATGTGACTTACTTGTGTTGAGTTCCCTGATGGCCTCGTTGAAGGTCATGAAACATTTCTCCTCACCTGCACACAAACCACAACATCTTAGTACAGAGATAATCACAGTATAACCTTCTCATGCATCTCTGAGTGTGAGTGAGTGAGTTGGGTTTTACGCCGTTTTTAGCAATATTCCAGCAATATCATGGCGGGGGACACCAGAAATGGGCTTTACACATTGTACCCATGTGGGGAATCGAACCCGGGTCTTTGGCTAAAAGCGGCGTAAAACCAAACTCACTCACTCACAAGGAAACTGAATGTCACTAGTACAATGCACCCACAAAGAAACTGAATGTCACTAGTACAATGCACCCACAAGGAAACTGAATGTCACAATTTTCATGCATAAATGACCTGACAATTGACAACTATGTCAAATCAGGGGGAGGTAAGTCTTATCAGTCTACATCACATCACACTTTGCCATGAAATTCATACTTTGGAATGAATCCTCTTTTCATTATACACTATTCTGAGAGATATTTCATATCAACAGGTTTGTTTTCATTTCTTACTAATAAATAACAAACTGAGTAGCCTAAACCTGAATCAACTGTGCCAGTGATGCACTGATACATGTACTGGGGTTCCATTGTAGACAGTGAGAGCACAGCATCTTACCAACATCCTTGTCCTTGGCTTGCAGATGTCTCCGAGCAAGGGCGTTCCACGTGACAGCATGCTGCGGGTACAGATCCTTGAGGCTGGAACATCATGAAGGCAGACATTAGATACTCTAGGTGAGTGGAGGTCAAACATGGAGTATGTAACTGTGGTCAGCAAAATTCTTGGGGGCCTGTATGTATTAAAGTCGGGAGCAGATAACCCAGTGGTTGATATTACGACCAACTTAAAAATGCCTTCAAAGTACATGTATGACTTGGCCACTCTCCACTACAGGACAAGCAACATGAGGAGACAGCATCTAATATATCCAGGTCGCAGGGCTGAAATATGGTGCTGGCAAAGCAAGGCTGAATCTGGCATCCAAACCCATGACAAAGTAATTCTAACATGTCTGACGGACACAACTGTACCCAGTTTAAGGATTGCTATGTAATGTTGCTCTCAGCAATATTCCAGCTCTCTGACAGTGACTTACTCTTTGTACATGGTGTTGAGCTTAGAGGCTGTGACAGTGACTTACTCTTTGTACATGGTGTTGAGCTTAGAGGTGAGGTGAGGTGGAATTGGGTTTTATGTCGTGCTTGAGAATATTTTGCTCATTTACATGGTGTTGAGCTTAGAGGCTGGTTTTATAGTGCTAGCCCACTGAGATACATCGCAGTGAAGCATGGTGTCCAGAGCTTAGAGGCTGCTGACAGTGACTTACTCATTTTGCCACATGACCAACAAGTGTTGAGCTTAGAGGATGTCGAACAGTGACTTACTCTTTGTACATGGTGTTGAGCTTAGAGGCTGTGACAGTGACTTACTCTTTGTACATGGTGTTGAGCTTAGAGGCTGTGACAGTGACTTACTCTTTGTACATGGAGTTGAGCTTAGAGGCTGTGACAGTGACTTACTCTTTGTACATGGTGTTGAGCTTAGAGGCTGTGACAGTGACTTACTCTTTGTACATGGTGTTGAGCTTAGAGGCTGTGACAGTGACTTAGTACATGGTGTTGAGCTTAGAGGCTGTGACAGTGACTTACTCTTTGTACATGGTGTTGAGGCTACATGGTGTTGAGCATGTGACAGTTACCTCTCTTTGTACATGGTGTTGAGCTTAGAGGCTGTGACAGTGACTTACTCTTTGTACATGGTGTTGAGCTTTGACAGTGACTTACTCTTTGTACATGGTGTTGAGCTTAGAGGCTCTGACAGTGTGTTGAGCTTAGAGGCTGTGACAGTGACTTACTCTTTGTACATGGTGTTGAGCTTAGAGGCTGTGACAGTGACTTACTCTTTTTGTACATGGTGTTGAGCTTAGAGGCTGTGACAGTGACTTACTCTTTGTACATGGTGTTGAGCTTAGAGGCTGTGACAGTGACTTACTCTTTGTACATGGTGTTGAGCTTAGAGGCTGTGACAGTGACTTACTCTTTGTACATGGTGTTGAGCTTAGAGAGGCTGTGACAGTGACTTACTCTTTGTACATGGTGTTGAGCTTAGAGGCTGTGACAGTGACTTACTCTTTGTACATGGTGTTGAGCTTAGAGGCTGTGACAGTGACTTACTCTTTGTACATGGTGTTGAGCTTAGAGGCTGTGACAGTGACTTACTCTTTGTACATGGTGTTGAGCTTAGAGGCTGTGACAGTGACTTACTCTTTGTACATGGTGTTGAGCTTAGAGGCTGTGACAGTGACTTACTCTTTGTACATGGTGTTGAGCTTAGAGGCTGTACAGTGACTTACTCTTTGTACATGGTGTTGAGCTTAGAGGCTGTGACAGTGACTTACTCTTTGTACATGGTGTTGAGCTTAGAGGCTGTGACAGTGACTTACTCTTTGTACATGGTGTTGAGCTTAGAGGCTGTGACAGTGACTTACTCTTTGTACATGGTGTTGAGCTTAGAGGCTGTGACAGTGACTTACTCTTTGTACATGGTGTTGAGCTTAGAGGCTGTGACAGTGACTTACTCTTTGTACATGGTGTTGAGCTTAGAGGCTGTGACAGTGACTTACTCTTTGTACATGGTGTTGAGCTTAGAGGCTGTGACAGTGACTTACTCTTTGTACATGGTGTTGAGCTTAGACTTACTCTTTGTACATGGTGGCTGTGACAGTGACTTACTCTTTGTACATGGTGTTGAGCTTAGAGGCTGTGACAGTGACTTACTCTTTGTACATGGTGTTGAGCAGAGGTGTTGAGCTTAGAGGCTAGAGTGACAGTGACTTACTCTTTGTACATGGTGTTGAGCTTAGAGGCTGTAACAGTGACTTACTCTTTGTACATGGTGTTGAGCTTAGAGGCTGTGACAGTGACTTACTCTTTGTACATGGTGTTGAGCTTAGAGGCTGTGACAGTGACTTACTCTTTGTACATGGTGTTGAGCTTAGAGGCTGTGAAGGGGAACTGCTGGCACACATCGATCAGAGCCAGAACCAGGTTGACATCTCCTGCAACAGTGATTGAAGTGAGTGAGTGAGTGAGTGAGTGAGTGAGTGAGTGAGTGAAGTGAGCGAGAGTGAGTGAAGTGAGTGAAGTGAGTGAAGTGAGTGAAGTGAGTGAGGAGTGAGTGAGTGAGTGAGTGAGTGAGTGAGTGAGTGAGTGAGTGAGTGAGTGATGTGATCGCGAGAGCGAAAGAGCGAGTGTGTGTGTGTGTGTGTGTGTGTGTGTTCAAGAAAAGATTAAATGATTTTTCTTTGAAGCACTGTCTGTCAATATTTATTTAGCAACCCCAATGTATCTGTCTGGTAACTTTTACGTCTGCGATAATGAGAATATATCTGTTGTACTGAAGTATTCTCAACTGACCTGGGAATTGTTCCACTGCCTTCCTGTACACTATCTGAGCCACCTTCCCCGACAACACTGCCTCCTCCTCCACATCAGCAAGCTGTGCAACAACAACAACAACACTGATAGAGTGGTCTATAAAGTATTCTGCTGGATGATCCCACCTGTGGATCTATATTGTACAAGGTCAAGGTGTGTATAACACTAGATAACACTGCAAGACACAGTCCATAACACTACATTACACTGTGCAACACTGTCCAACACTGTCCGACTCCTATAAGAATATAACACCATACAGCAGCGTAGAAGACTACATAACACTCTACAAGAACAGTTAATACTGTAAATATTCTACCTCTGTACGTGACTGTATAACGCAGACTACAGGACTACATACAAACTGATATGAAACTTGGTCATCAATATGATGATACATGACCTATTGTGATGAAACAGAGTTTTAATTCAATCACATGATACACAAAGTTTATTCATGGATTGCTTCTAAAGTTTATTCAGGATGCTGTTCTGTTAATAATCCATGCGTTAATATGTCACCATGATGTGAAATATGCCAATTTCTTTCTGACTTTTTACTTCTTTAATAGTTATCGATTGATATTTACTTAACAATTATTGATGTCTATGATCTGTATCGATAGACCGCAACAGTTGTCAGTAGTGAAACTCTATTACACTGTATAACACAACATACACTATAAAACACTATATACAGATATACACAGGCGAAACAACTCACTTCTTCCAGCAGTTCTCGTCTTTTCCTCAACTAAAACAAAAACAAGCTGTTAAGTTCTCTCTGTATTGTACAGTGTATTGTCAGTATCTGAAATTAACAGTCATGGCACGCCACAGTGGGCATGAAGACAAAGTCCCAAGACAAAGGATGTAAGTCCATTTCCATGTAGTTTAAGATAAATGTCCATAGTTTTCTGGTTGATACTGAAACTACTACTGAGTGAATCCATGCAGGATTCAGTTTACAGTCGCGGCCCTCACTTACTGAGAGTAGATAAAAAACTGTGAACAATGTGACACAGTGTGTAATAGAAGAAACGAAAAATATTTTGTCTTATAGCGACTAGTCTCAGGTAATAGAGATTCTTGTTGCCATGATTACAAAGGTCCAGTTGATATAGACACTTATTCTCCTGTTTCATCTTGGCCTACTGAGCTACGTACCTTCTCTGCATATAGTAACTCCAGTCTGTAGTACTGAAACACAGGGACAAAACAGCATGGGACTGAGTGAGTGAGTTGGGTTTGACTCCTAACACAGATTTAGTGATACCATTACACATTATATTCATTTGGATTGAGCTGAACACACAGTCCCCAACATGGCTATGGTGCTGGTATGCTGGACAGAGTAGCTCACCAGTCAGCTCTTCAACACATCCTATTTTCACTCAGAAAGAAGAAGCCAACCAACTTTGGGGAAAACACCATTACTTTCCATAACATCCAGCATGTGTTTAGCAAACTTCTGTAGTTGTTGTAAAACATGCAAACACTTCTATTGGCTTAACTTAACAGCTTAAGGTACATAAGGGCAATGTTGGTTTTGTTTTATGATTTTGTTGGTTAATGCCGCCCGCCTCACCTCTATCCACAACTGCTTGGAGGTGTCATTGAACCTCAAACCTCTCTGCAACAAAGTGCGAGCATTCTCGGGGTTGACGTTGGCTTCAAACTCCCACTTGGCAGCCATGATCCATAGATCTAACACAGATACAACACAAGATACAATTAAGAAATACAGTTCGCTCTACCACCATGTATAGTGTAATAAAGCACACTTTCGCCCTGAACTGTTATAGTTAAAGTATGAGGACGTTTGCGTCCGAGTGCTTTAACGTTGTAATAGTTCAGGGTGAAAGTGTGCTTTATTACACTGTACATGGTGGTAGAGCAAACTGTATTTCTTTTTTAAGATGCCAAATTTAATACTTTCTAAGCATAATTATGATTAATTTAAGGCAGAAAAGAAACAACGGTGTCGGTGACCTAAATTAAGAATCCTCGCACAGGGCTAACTGGTGCGCTGTTCTATTGATGTGTCTGTACATGGTGACGCAATGCAAATAGTGCACATTATCGTCTGATAAAGTACTGTCAGCGCCTTTGATCGTTAACCGAAGCATCTTAGAATATGCAGTGGAAGCCCCCTAAACCGGCAGCCCTCCAATCCGGCACACTCTCAATATTGGCACTAGAATTTGGTCTTGACAGAAGCTAGTTAATTTATAATCATTTACACGCCCTCTAATCCGGCGTCAGTCTATTCCGTATTTCGGCACAACAAAGACCGCCCAATTGACTGTTTGTACAGTAATAAACGCTCTCTAAACCGGCATCCAGTACCTCGGTTCTCCTGCTGATTGGCTGAACCTGTATTAACAACACAATGGCTTGCCATCGGTATTAATCTCAGTGATGTTGATTAGGCCTAAGTAGGTGAGGTAAATTGGTGAGTGACAAGTGTCACTTGTATTATAATTTAATTACAGCAAATATATGACAAAGTTAACACTCTGACGCATGATTGGTTTTTGAGTGTCTGCAGTAAAAACATGCCCATTTCTGGACCTATTTTGAAAGAGAAAGCTATTTAGTTTGCTTCAGAATTGAATCTCAACGAGTTTAAGGCATCAGATGGTTGGCTGGCACGTTGAAAGACACAATACGACATCAACTGAGAAGCGAAAGTGTCATTGTAGATCAGAGTGAAAAGTTGAAGTCCCGCCTCCCGACTTTGATTGATGGATATGCGCCTAGGGAAGATGTCTTTAACTGCGATGGGACTGGTTCGATTTTGTCGTGCTTTACCCCATGTTATGTTTATTGATGAATAAAGAATATGATGACTATCGACACGTTGTTCAGTCGTATTTTATGGCACACGGAAGATCTTCTCAGGTTGAAAAGGAAAAGTTCTCTAAACCGGCACGCCCCCTATATTGGCGGTTTTTGCCGATCCCAACGAATGCCGGTCTAGAGGGCTTCCAGTGTACAACACAATATACAATGCAAGATAAAGCACTGATACAATACTAGATACAACAATATGCCTTGCATATTTTAAAATCAAATACTTATCAATTTTATACAATAGTGAAACAAAACAAATTCCATAATCATAATTGTTTTCATCCAACATTACAATAAGCACAGCTTCTGATATTAATCAGTACTACACTTTTCCAGAATACTCACAACAATCTGTAGTTTTCAGAAATCTACAAATGTTACAAACGTTTCAGGCAATACTCAGCTACTGGGGTTTCACATATTCCCGTTGGTTGAAGCTCACCTGGTTTCTTGTTGTGAACTTGGAGCATGCGGGTATACAGTCGGCTCACGTACGACCTCTCATTCTGAAGCAACACATATACGTATCATCAGACACGGCCCCAACTTCTTGCTGGCTGTCAGTTCACAAAAATATATAACAAATTGTAAACTTATGTCATGTTTCCTATTAGGGATGCCACGATACATTGATGCATCGATACTTTTTCTAAGACAATACAATTATCGATACATTAAAAACTGTATCGATATTTAGTTTTGAAAGTATCGGTTTAAATATGTTGGTGTATCATTTACATTTTGCAATTGTATCATGTTTTTTTATGTTATGAGAGTTATAAATTTGAAAATTTTATTATAAATTGTATATTTATATACTTATCCTATCTCACGGTATACATAATCCCACAGCTGGTAGGCGGGGTCGCAGATTACCCCGTTACTACCACCAGGAAAAACGCATAACCCAAGGAGGCCAGGAGAAAGCACCAACTCCCGATATGCAAACTCCAACCTGAGATCGGTTTCTTGTAACCCCTTGGCTTACACAGCACAAAAACTCTAGGGAGTGGGCGCTCCTGAATTAATGTGGTTTTCGGCCACAACTTTTGACAAGCAAAAGGACGCAGTTTGGCAAGTAGGCCCCGCCGCCCCGCGATTTATCAGGTCAGCCCAGTGAATTAAAGTCGAGGACCTTAATCTGGCCAGTCCCTGCTTCGAAACTACCCCCCACAGACACACGCTGGAAGGCGGTGAAAGAGGGAATAGTTCGGTTGCTCAACTAGTTTCAGTACCAATCTCCCTAACTCACCAAAGGTGAGAAAGGACTCAGGAGCAGAACGGTTCGAAAATCATGTAAGTAATCGGAAATCAACACTTCGCTGACGTAATTGCTCAGAGAGTAGAGGTCAGTAAGCGGAGTGTCAATCATCTCTGCAATGTAGCACAAGACTTGCCTCACAGTCTATTAAGTCATAACCGATGACAGTGCAGACACGCCCTATTCCCATAGGTGAGAATAATCTAAGCCCAAATGGAAGAAAATACCAAGACATGGATAACATCGATATCTTTTATTATGTACAGAGCAAAACCGACCAAAGAAGGATTGCTTTATCTGCGAACACGGGCCGATGACAATTGCTGCGCCAGGACCAGGGGGCCGAATTGATGTAGACCTTCCATGTCTGTAACCGATAGGTCCGTCAGGTAGTGTGAGGCAAACACCGTATCTGATCGCCAAAAACAGCCCTCCATGATGGACTGCAGGGAACAATTTCTGTGAAGAGCCATGGTGGAGGCAAGAGCTCAAGTCTCATGAGGCTTCGCCGTCGACGGTGGAGGTAGGTCAGCAAAGGCATAAGCATGCAGGATCGTAGTTCGCATCCAAAACGCCAAGGTAGTACGGGAGACTTCCGAGGTGGAGGCAGTAGACAATGGAATGAACAATCTCTTACACACTCTGCGGCGATCCTGTGAGGCAGCTAGGTAAATCCTTAATGCACGCACCGGGCATAAGGACAGATCCTCAGTGTCATCTGGGCCCAAGATAGTGGACAACGGCGGAATCGTGAATGTGCGATCTGGCTGTCCTGGTAACTGATTCTTGGCGAGAAAATCCAACCGCAAACCAAGGAAAACTTTCGCATGTCTAGACCTTTCAAACCGTACCCAAGAAACATCAAGAGAATGCAACTCAGAAATACGAGCAGCCGTAGCCAAGGCCAATAGAAAGAAGGTCTTAAAGGAGACATGTTCGAAATCTTTCTTCTCCAAAGGTTCATAATCAGCTGACGTGAGATGAGCAAGTACAACGGAAAGATCCCAAGCTTGAGGCCGGAACTTCCGAGATTGGTCAGCCAGTTTGTAAGACAGGAGGAGAAACTGGAGTTCAGGGACAGTGGACACCTTGACACCTGAGGCCGCTGCAATAACCGTGTTAAGTGCCGCCAGATAGGTAGATAGTGTAGAACCATTGAGGTTTCTGGAGGTACGGAGATGCTGAAGGTACTCTGCTACCATCTGCGGGGACGCCGTAGTGGGGCATGAGATGCCCCTCTTCCTGCAATATGCTTCGAAATTCTTCCATTTGTCATCGTAGAGTGACCTCGTAGAAGTACGATGCGCTGTAGTAATGGCAGTAGCCACATGCTTAGAATAGCTCTTAGCCGTTAACGACCGATGTAGATGCGGCAAATGTGCAGATGGAGCGTCATCGGGGACCAATGTAGCCTGTCGGAGTGCAGATGTACCAATAGATCGGGCCAAACGGGAAGTGGTTCGGCTAGGTCTTGAAGGTTTACGAACCAGCTTCTGGCCGGCCAATAGGGCGCGACCAAAAGCAGAGTCATCCTCTGAGTTGCGCGCAGCTTCACTAATTCGCCAGGAAGAAGGGCCACTGGTGGAAACGCATAAGCTTTCAGGTTCTCCCACAGAATGGCTAGAGCATCGAGGTCCCAAGCCAGAGGATCCGGAATCGGTGACTCAAACCGAGGCAGCTGATTGTTGAATCGAGTGGCGAAGAGATCCACTGTCGGAGTCGTCAACGGGAAGGCAAAAGGTCTGGAACACCTGAGGATGTAATTTCGAATTCCGTTGGAGAGGGACGACTGATTGTTGATTGAGAAGATGAGCTCCCCACCCGTGTAGAGACGCGTCCACATACAGGTGGTGAGACAGAACAAACGGCCCTAAACAAACTCCGTCGCAAACATTCAATTCTTCCATCCACCACAGGAGATGGGGATGGAGCTGCAGAGGTAGAGTGATCAAGGCAACGGGATCTCCCACTCTGATGTTAGGCGCTAGAAAGAACTGCAAGGGACGAAGTTGTAGTTGACCCCTGAGGGTCAACGCCTGAGCCGACGTAAAGAGGCCCAGGAGCTCCTGCCACTGACGAAGCGTCCTGGGTTGCGCCAGTGCCAGAGAAACCAATCGCTGAATCTTGCAGAAACGATCCCTCGGGACAAAGAGTTTGTTGGCCTCTGTGTGGAACACTGCTCCAATGAATTGGAGACGGCGTGTAGGGGCTAGTTACGATTTCTGCAGATTGATTAACCAGCCTAATTGGCGAAGAAGCTGTATCGCAAAGTGCATGTGATGAAGCAGAAGGGCATGATCGGTCTGCGCCTGAATGCAGTCGTCGATGTAAGCTTCGAACACTATCCCCTTGTGGTGAAGGAAGCTGGTGATAGGCTTCGTTACCCGTGTGAACAGCCACGGGGCCGAAGAAATTCCAAACGGGAGGACACGCCACTGATAGTGGGTGCCCTCGAAGACAAATCGAAGGGACTTGCGATGAGCCGGGAAGATTGGGATGTGCAAGTACGCATCCTGGAGATCCAAACTGACCATGAAGTCTCCCGGCTTGATAATGGTCTTGAGGAGTGCCACCGAAACCATGCGAAAATGGGGCGGAGGCTGCAGAAACCTCTCGTTGAAAATCTTCATGTTGAAAATTAACCTCAGTTTGTCCGAATCCTTCTTGGGGACCAGAAAGATTGGGAGAATAGAACCCCGGGGCGGTCAGAGCCGGACCCAGGGATTCGATCGCAAGTTTCTTGAGCAAGGTGTCTATTGTGGATCGACGAACCGCCGTCTGTTGAGCGGGATACGTTCTGCGATCCGGAAGCAAAGTGAGAGGAGGATCCCCGATGAGTGGCAGCTGAAAACCCGTGGACAACATGGAGGGACGAAGGGGTCTCCCAAGATGGTCCAGTTGGGAGCATAAGTCCCAAGCCGGCCGCATACTGGGGAAGTCAGAATGGGCACGACTGGAGGTCGCCTGCTAATGTCCTCAAGTCACTGTTTGTCAGGTCTTTGCGAAGTGGGCTGGTCGGAAGCGGAAGCTGATCGTAAAGCAGTGGATGCCCGACATTGACGGTTGAGTCGTCCTCTGCCGAAGGATCCCTTTCCATGAAAGGAAGCAGCAGGACCCGCACGAAGGTCCGGATTCACTGGGACATAACGGGCTGGCCGTCGCTGGCGCAACGATTCCTCCACCTGCAAACGCTGGAACTTCAACAATTCCACTGACACTTGTAAATGAGCATCTTGACCCACTCTGTTGGCGACATCTCTAACAGCCCCGTTGAACAGTGATCTGCCAGACCACGGCTGCCGAAAGAGATCAGTACGGAACCGATCCTCCCAAAAGGATAAGTGCAAAGCCCCCCTGCGACGCACAGCTGTGATGTACAAAAAGAAGTGAGCTAACTGATCTAGAATGGTCTGGAATTGCTCTTGCAATAAGACCATAGCCGCTCGAATATATGCTTGTTGATGGGACGTAGCATGCGCAACCGACATAGCCACCGCTTCGGTAGTCGTCAACACCATGTTGAGTGGAGCCATTGTCTTCCTTATGACACCATCCAAATGCAAAAGCTCACGATCCTCAACCAGGAACGGCGAGTAGGCTTTCTGTCCCTAGCAATGTAATATCATCATCCACCAGAGGGGAGACGATTAGCGTAGAGAAACCATGAACATGAGCAGATGCTAAATTGAAGCGAGGAGCCGCGAACCAATCCTTAACCTTCCTCAGGTTACCAAAAGCCTCATCCAGAGATGCTGCCAATTGAGTAATACACAGTCGAGGAGGGAACGTGATAGAGCCAAAGTCACCTGGCTTCATGTCAAAGCTGGATAATAAATCCGCCGATGAGCTACTACGCTGTAAACGAAGGCTATCGGCAATCCAGACAAGTAGTTGAGGCATGTCAACAGCATCCACGCTACCATCGGATAGTGCCGTACCATCAGACGAAGGACATGGCGTCATCGAACGATGAACCTCCTCTAAAAGAGGAACTGGAGTAGTCGAAGGACATGATGACTGATTAGCAGAGGAGGATGCTGGCACCTGCTGTCGTAACGCTGACGCTACCGCTAGCACAATAGCATTAAAGTCCAGAGGTTGAATACTCGAAACTTCTGAACCCGGATACCGGTAAAATGGGTCTGGCCACCGATCCCGTTATAGGAGGAACCGACGAAACAGAAGCAGACACCGAGAGATGACGAGGCACCTCACTAAGAGAAGACGGACCTCCAGCTAACTGAGACACCCCCCCATGAGGCAACGATGAAGCCGAAAGGTCCCGGCCATTGACAGCAAAGGTTAAACTGAGTGGACCCAGCGCCGAACTAGACACATGAGAGGTGAGCGCTGAACCCTGAGGAAGCAACGAACCAACCGCCCCATGAGTCAACCTTGAAGCCAGTGAGCTATGAGAAAGCGCCAACCAGGACCAATATGCGTAAGCGCCGCAGCACGAACACCGTGAGGAAGCGCTGAACTGGGAGTACTATGAGTAAGCGCCGAACCAGGAGCCCTGGGAGCAAGCGCCGAACCGGGAATACTGTGAGTATGCGCCGCACCGGGAGCACCATGAGGAAGTGACGAACCCAAGCCTGCATGAATTAGCACCTAACTGGGAGCACCGGGATTAAGCGCCGAATCAAAACCCCCCTGAGTAAGCGCCGAACTTGGAGCACCGGGAGGAAGCGCCGTATCAAAACCCCTATGAGTAAGCGCCGAACTTGGAGCACCGGGAGGAAGCGCCGAACCGGGAACACCGGGAGGAAGCACCGAACCGGGAGCACCAGTAGTAAGCGCCGAACCGGGGGCAAACAAGAGCGCCGAATTGGACCCAAGCAGCGCTCTGAATGACATCACGTGATCGGCAACAAGCGGCGCTCTACCCACAGGTCCTGAAGTAAGCGGTGCTTGAGAGGTATGCGGCGCACTAGAATAATGTGGTGGCCCATAACCAAACGGTACAGGATACGGGACAGAAGCGGAAAAAGGTAATCTGGGAACCATCGACACACTTGTCAACCCCACCGGAGGATGAGAAAGCGCCGCATCAAAACTATCCCCTGTACCCAAAGCAAGTGACACATTCGACGCAAGCACCGAATGGGAAACAGGCATAGTAACAACCACCGAAGTGGAAAGTGCCGCACTGCAAGGAAGCGGCACTTGAGATGTAATGCTAGGAATCACACCAAGCGCCGCACAAGAAACCCCCACCTCAGGACCAAAAGAGCACTGAGGGATAGTTATCACCGAAGACGGACGGGGCTGAAGAGAAGATGTAGATTACACGACAACCCTAGGTGGAGAAGAGTCTTCCAAAGTGATGGGGTTAGAGGCATGTGGTCGGAAAAGTTGCCGTAAGTTTTCACTGAGGTAAGAATCCGACGCCTCCCCTAGGAAATCTTCATTAGGAGACGGGGACTTCAAACGACGGACTGCAGTTTTCATACGGCGTTCTGCCTTAAGACGTTTAGACGCAGACGGACCCTCAGATGGGCTTCGACAATCCCTATCTGACATACGTCTACAAGCCACCCGGCGGTATTCAGAGAAATCATCATCGTTGAGGTCTGCACAAAAAGTACAACGATGTGACCACTCACACCGACCCAAGCAGTCAACACACAAGGCATGTGGATCTGCCGCCGAGAAGTTACTTTTACAATTATCGCAATGTTTACGCTTCTTAGAACCACTGCGATTAGATTTTCCCATTGTTGGAAACGCAAGCAAACTTTCTAGAGACAAGCACACGTCCACACGATGTAGCGACAAGAAAGAGAATGACAGGCACAGGTAGTCACATGATCATCTGAGCGAGCTGCACGCTTGCGGAGATGATTGACAGGTGCTGATGTCGGAGTGGGGGGGGAGGTCAGGGCGGGTCAGAGGCCAGTAAGATTTGATTCAACTTAGCCTACAGCACGTTTCAACACATGGTCGTAGAAGAAGAGGAGAGGTGCATACCGTGAGATAGGATAAGTTTAAAAATGATTATTTTTCAGGCACAAAGATGGGAAATTATAACTTATTAATCTCTGAGAATAATAAATGTTGATCTTTTCATGGACAATTATAAAATATGAAATATTAATGTTAAAAATGTACCAAATTTATGCAATAATGCCTGGAAAATAGGTATCGTGATACGTATCGAACCATGACATGGGTATCATGATACGTATCAATTCATGAAACTTATGTATCGTGACATCCCTACTTCCTATCCAGACGTACAGGGAGCTCAGTCTTAAGAAGAAGATGTGTTGACCAGAAGATGCTGATATCTTTCAACCATCTGACGTCCATCGGAAGCTTGCTTCATAGCTCTGCTAATGGTTCTGTTTCCCTAAGTTTGTGTCTTTGGTGGTGGCACCACCAACTGTAGACTAACACTCCCAATACATATTATTTTGATAGAAACAAACAATTTATTTTAAATCAAAAAGGAGTCCCAGAAATCTAGACTTGGTTTTCTTAGGGCTTAACCTCGGCAGAAGAGAAAGTAATGTGGTTCAGGGACTGCGAGAAAGACTACGCCAACTCAGGTTGGCATGAATATCATAAAGCTGTTGTACTGGCAGTAGTAGCGAGTGAGTTATTATTATTCCAGTATGACCACTGTGACCAGTAGAATATCACGGGCAACAAGGCATGACCCAGGTCACATGTACTCGATCTAGTCGTCTCATACAAGCAGGGGGGACTACTAACACTATCCCAACATGTGTATCAAGGCATTACTGCATCAGAAGGTAAGACTTCACTCAGATGCCAGTATCCTTACCACATGTATTTCATTTGTATGTAAGAAGTAAATCAAGGAGTTATTACACAATGTAAGTAATTGCTTTAGAATCTATCAGACTTGTATTTCATCTAAACGATGCAATGACACATTTTAAAATCCCATGTATAGAGTATGACACTGTATTTAGTGAATTACATACTGTTTCAGGGTTTGTTCTAAGCCAGTGGAATATACGTGCCCTGGCATTATTTGACTACACACTATGCGCTTACAATATCATCAGAATAGACATGGACTGCCACCAGTTCCCTATCTTACAGTCATAGAACTTTGTTTTTCTTAAAGAAAGTAGACTAGTCATCAGACTTTGTAAGAAGTCCTGCTTGAACAACACAAAACTGGTTATGCTGAACCTGTAAAATTGGTCACATTAAGTCAGCTTGGATACAAAAATGGTACCCCTATAAAATTGTAATTATACCTTTTGAAGTTAATCCAGTGGAATACTTTAGCAAGTTCTGATTTGTGACAAGAAAGTAATATCTTGATGTCATGGTGCGTACCGTCATGTTACAGTCATACAAACAGTGACATCTGATTGGAGAAGACACTTTTCAATTGTCCAACAATTGGTTCATCCAGATTGACAGGAAAAGTATTACTTACCCGGCTCTTACAGAACTCGATGTGAGACAGCCACAGTTTGACGTCATCCTGTGAGAGAGATGCCACCTTATAACAACATACCTACACGATCATAGATAAGATATATTCATCCTGTGAGAGAAAGGTTTCCTTGTGACGAAACACTGACACAATCGTATAATTATTTATCATCCTGTGAGGGAAATGCCACCTTATGACAACACATCAACACAATTGTGTACCCGATAATTATTTGTCATCCTGTGAGAGAGACTGCCTGACTGACTGAGTTTGGTTTTACGCCGCTTTTAGCAATATTCCAGCAACATCATGGCAGGGGACACCAGAAATGGGCTTCACACATTGTACCCAAGTGGGGATTCGAACCCGGTTTTCGGCGTGACGAGCCAACGCTTTAACCACTAGGCTACCCCACCGCCCCTGTGAGAGAGATACTACTTCATTACAACACATCTACACAACCATGGATTTATTCATCATCCTGTGAGAGAGAGCTGATACCTTATGATAACACATCTACAAAAATCATATATTTATTTGTCATCGTGTGAGAGAGATCCTACCCTATGACAACATATCTTCATAATTGTATATCAGAAATTTTGGAAAAATCAAATTGTCCAAGAGAAGTACTTACTTGAAACCTTAGGCAGACAAGCTGAAAAAGCAGATATAGAGATGAACATTATCTGTTCTCCGATATGCAGGTCTTACTGAGCATTTAACAACATCTTATAGAACAAAGGGGGATAGTGACAGTCTTGCAGATGATACAGTCAAAGTGGACTTGTAGCATTGATGTACAGTTTAGACAAACAAAATATACCCACCTGTTTCACTGAAACACTACAGTTGAACAGATAGTTTGTTGGAAAGTTTTGCTGACAGGATTTCTTATAGTGTGCAAGAACACACAGAGGGGATTGTTGCCTCAATCTGCGAAAACTGATGATCTTTATTTCAGTCAAATCACACGATTGAGTACTTTGATTATACACACTTGATGTAAGTTTATTTAGATATCATACCTTGCAAACTGAATATTTCAAGAGTGAGTCAAGTAACATTCAAACAACATGTTTGGAAACGCCAGACACAGGTCTCACACATTAAATTACACTGATGTGAGGAATTAAACCCAGCTCTACAAGAACAGCGTATGGTTTAACAATTAATCGACCCTTCTGAACCGTGTTGAGTAAAGGCTACATGTATCTGAACAATGTTGAATAAAGAATACATGCATCTGAACCGTGTTGAATAAAGAATACATGCATCTGAACCGTGTTGAATAAAGACTACATGTATCTGAACCTTGTTGAATAAAGTCTTCATGCATCTGAACTGTGTTGAATGAAGACTACATGTATCTGAACCTTGTTGAATAAAGAATACATGCATCTGAACCCTGTTGAATAAAGAATACATGTATCTGAACCGTGTTGAATAAAGAATACATGCATCTGAACCGTGTTGAATAAAGACTACATGTATCTGAACCTTGTTGAATAAAGTCTTCATGCATCTGAACTGTGTTGAATGAAGACTACATGTATCTGAACCATGTTGAATAAAGACTACACGTATCAGAACCGTGTTGAATGAAGACTACACGTATCAGAACCGTGTTAAATAAAGACTACATGCAATCTGAACTGTGTTGAATGAAGACTACATGTATCTGAACCATGTTGAATAAAGACTACATGTATCTGAACCGTGTTGAATAAAGAATACATGCATCTGAACCGTGTTGAATAAAGACTACATGTATCTGAACCTTGTTGAATAAAGTCTTCATGCATCTGAACTGTGTTGAATGAAGACTACATGTATCTGAACCATGTTGAATAAAGACTACACGTATCAGAACCGTGTTGAATGAAGACTACACGTATCAGAACCGTGTTAAATAAAGACTACATGCAATCTGAACTGTGTTGAATGAAGACTACATGTATCTGAACCATGTTGAATAAAGACTACATGCATCTGAACCGTGTTGAATAAAGACTACATGTTTCTGACAGGGACACGTACCCGGAACAGTTTGTGGATCCGCTGAATAATGGCCACATCAATCTCCAATCTCTTGTACGTACACCCGGAACCCTGGAACAACATGGCAGGAGATTGTATATAGGGCTGACCACATCAGATCAATTACCTGGTAAACTGTATAAACTCATGTTTATGATGACAACTTCATGATCACAATATTCAGCTGATGTAACCAGGGAAGAAAACAAATACCCTCAAAGAAATGCATGTCAAATAATGTACTAGAAATAAGTATCTGAATAAATATCTACATGTAGACAAAACAATTTTGATGCCTGCATCCAGTCTTCATAAAAACTTAGTGGTCATTGAAAGATAGGTTCATCCGACGAACTTCTCACTTTTGTCAAACTTGTTTGATGAGCAAATCATCATTTGTTGTACCCGTCAAGGTCCAGGTTAGAATATTGATCTTCAGTAACCCATGCTTGTCATAAGAGGCGACTAACGGGATCGGGTGGTCAGGCTTGCTGACTTGGTTGACACATGTCATCGGTTCCCAATTGTGCAGATTGATGCTCATGCTGCTGATCACTGGATTGTCTGGTCCAGACTCGATTTTTTACAAACTGTCGCCATATTAGTGCTGGTATTGGCATACAACCTGCGATACGATACATCACGATACTAAAATGTTAGTCACGACGATATATTGCCAAAGTATTGTGCACTGCATCTGCGATACGATACGAATCCCGATATAAGGGTGGCAATATGATACGTATCATGATACTAAAATCTTTAATTCTAACACCAACTATAAAATACCTTAAGATCAAAACAAAACCATTTTTAAGTATTTTGTCAAATTCCGCCAGCGTATTTTCAATGTTCCTTCGGAAACGAGATAATTAAGTTTATACATGGACTTTGTGAATGTCAATAACATGCAAGTGCTTTGTCTGACACAGGTCTTGACGCAAGTATTTCTGAGAAAACGTTTACTTATGAAGGGAAAATAAGTAAGTATATATTTTAATCATCAAACAAAAGTAAGTGTTTCTTCATGACAGATATCGCGATTTGGCAATATTCCAAGTTAAACATCGATGTATCAGGGCCCATTTGAAGTATCGTATAGGGATGTACGCCAATGTAAAACTTTGTATTGATTCCCTGTATCGGCGGCCCATGGATCGATGCATATCGATGAATCCTCACACCACTACGCCATATAGCTGGAATATTGCCAAGTGCAGCATAAAACTAAACTCACTTACACTCACTCATTTGTTGTGTCCTTGTGCATGTGTTTTGTGAAGGATTTCACGGAACATTCGGATACAGCAAGCCATGATGGCCGACTGTGCATCGCAGCTTATCTACTGATATCAGAACATTCTGGAGACAATACTACACAACGCATACATGACATGGCCTGATGTAATATTCACTTCAGACAACCTGATGTAATTACTGAACAAATATTGCCAATCTTGTCAAGTTCTATCAGTTACCTCTCTCCTCTTCTCCACCAGCTTAAGAACATTAACTTCATACTGAAACACACGAAGAAGACACATACAAGGTAAACAGTATAATCAAATCGCAAGTCTTCATAAATGTATCGTTAAGTTACCATGGTTACCTTGACCACAACATGCATAAGCAGGCCATACAGCAAGATATGACCATACCCAATATTCTCCAGACTATTTGTTATAAATGTTCAACATGTTAAGATTACCATTGCTTGGGTGTGTTTTGTTAACTGTTATACCTGGAAGGCTTCTGGTGCGTTTTCCCGATTAAAACCTCCTCAGCAAGGCCTTTGTACAGTAGGATCTTTACAAGCCAGACAAGCTTTCAGTCAAATCATGCCCATTATAGTGTCAAAAAAGGAAAATTGAAATTTGCTTCTTAGAAATTATTGAACCAAAGTTTTCTTCAGCAATGTCATAATGATACGAGTCAGGTGTAATCTTGAATCTTCAACATTGTTTAAGAACAGCTACGCAGCAATCAATTTGGAAACTGACATGTATCACATATTGATATAAAGGCTAATGAATTTCCACAAACAATAACCTGATAACTGCAAATTTGATATATGGCATGTTTGGGAATGTTGTAATTCTTGGAGGTTAACACTTCAGATTCCTGGCTCACCTGTATATACTGCAGGAAATCTTCACGACACTTGGTCCGGCGCCGCAGCTTGTACTCATAGGATTGGCGCTTCTTCAGGATTTGCCTTCAACACACATAATATCTATACCTGTACTTCCTCCATTGATAGAGGGATGCAGAGAATTTAAGACATTGCCAATTCATACACGTTTACAGTGTATTTGTTGGATAAAATGTGAGTGAATTCACAGACAGATATCGTTCATTGCAATTGGATGATAATAAAGCCAGTCACATCAATCAATGGCTGTTACTCAAGAAGTAAAGGCCAAATGTTAGAACTTATTTCAGTCTAAGGACGAAGCTGATTACTGATTATAACATATGTTGTGAACCTCAACAACAAACAGCTCACCTCACAACAAACCACTGTCCTTGCCAAAGGACTCAAGTTTGCCCCAACGCCACCCAAGATCAACGCAGATCCTTCATCACCACCATTGAGAAGGGGCTGCAACAACTGGCCCCTGGGGGCAAAGTGGACTACCTCCGCCACCAGATCAGCAACATTCTACAGAAGGCACAACCTCAAAAACCCAGCCTCACCAAATTCGACAGACTGGCCATCAAACAACTCAAACAAGACCCAGATATGATCATTGTCCCAGCAGACATGGGTAGGGCCACTGTGGTGTTAGACCAGCCCCACTTCCACTCCATGGTGGAAAACATGCTGCAAGACCCAACCACCTACAAGATCAAGAAGGACCCCGCCGCAAAACTTCGACAACACAAGGCCTGCCTTAAGACACTCTGTGATAACTATGAACTATCTGTGGACTTTCATCGAAAACTCTCAGTATCGCATCCCAAACCTCCCTATGCCAGAGCAACAGTGAAAATTAAGGTTGGCGACAACGTTTGTCATCCTCCACCCTGGCCAAGATCCAGACCAGCTACTACAAAATCTAAACAACCAACACCACCGCATCAAATTTAACATGGAACCAGAAACCAACAACAAACTGCCCTTCTTAGACGTCCTTGTGTCCCGCACCCCTACCAACACACTCCAGACCACAGTTTACCGCAAGCCCATGCACAACGACCAATATGTTCATTACCAGTCCAACCACCCACCACAGGTAAAGACTGGTATAATATCCACATTCACCAGGAAAGCTAAGAACATCTGTTCTACTAATCTTCAAGAGGAAATAAACCATCTCAAAGAAGCGTTCATTGACCTCAATGATTATCCACCCCAATTAGTCAACAGGACAATTGTTTCAACCCTTTCACCATCAACTAAGCTACCAAGACCAGAGCCAGCACCGATAAAATCTCCATCCCCTACATTGGCAAGACCTCACACCAGATCAGCAGGCTCCTGAAGCAACAAGCCGATATATACACCACATTCTCCACTTCAAGAACTCTAAACAACCTTCTACAGGCCAACGGGCGTAACCACCTCAACAACGGAAAATCCAATCCCAAGGGTGTGGTTTACAAAATTGACTGTAACTGTGGACAATCATATATTGGCGAGACATATAGGCCAATCAACACCACAGTGAAAGAGAACCAGGCGTCAATAAACAAATCCGACAACAAATCAGTTATCTCAGAACACATTCAGACCAACCCCAATCACCAAATCAACTGGACCAGAATAGACAATACTGGCAACCAACCAAGCTGACTTTACCAAACGGAAATTAACTGAAGCCATCCACATCAAACGAACACCAACCCATGATTAACAGAATTCAAGGTTATTTCATGCCCTCAGAATACGACGAACTCATCAACCAACCCTAACTGCTTGTACAACTTGTAAAAACATGCCCACCCATCCTGCTCTGTACGTGCCACTGGCTTCTAAATGTAATCCATTGTCACTAGCTTCTACTTGTAATCCCTTGTCATCACATTGTTACTGTACTTCCCAATTAACTTCTTGTTGTTCTTGTTATAAAGTTTGTCCTTATATGTTATATTTGAATTCCTTTGTATAGTACAGATTCTAGTACCTTTTGGGGGTTGAGTCCCATCCGGGATTCGAACCCACACCGGAGCCAATTTACACTTATCAGAGGGGTACACAAAGTCAGCAGTCTAGACTACCAGTTGTCCAACTTCTATTTTTGTGGAAGTCGTGGTGGGTGAGCGGGTTAGGGGGCTGCCTTTGTGTGCTGGCGATTAGGTGCCTGACTCTGAGGGTGTGAGTTCAAATCTCGGATGGGATTCAACCCCTAAAAAGGACTAGAATCTGTACTTTACTAAGAAAGTGTAATCCCAAATATAACATATGTTACATTTGACCACTTTTTAAATGGCATTGAGTGAGTGAGTGAGTTTGGTTTTACGCCGCTTTTAGCAATATTCCAGCAATATCACGGCGGGGGACACCAGAAATGAGCTTCACACATTCTACCCATGTGGGGAATCGAACCCGGGTCTTCGGCGTGACGAGCGAACGCTTTAACCACCAGGCTACCCCACCGCCCCCAAATGGCATTGTATAATCATGATTACTGATTACTTTTTGATTGGTTAGGCCACATAAAAATAATTTCTTATTTCTCATTACCGCCCAACCCTAATTTAAAAAAATTTTAGTTTGCATAATCAAAGTTTGTTATGTTCTTTTGAACATAAATGAGGAAAAGACGCTGGTAGGTTGCAAGTCTTTACTTCATAACCACATGGTTAGGTTACAGCTACAAGTGGTAGACTAGAACTAACACGGAATAAGAGTTAGGGTATAATATAAAAGTGTAACTGTAAAGTGGATGGGTACTTATTACAACAAACTTCAAAGAAAGTTAGTAAAGACACATTAATTGTCATCACCATTGACATGAGGATATGTCAAATAAAGCTGAAGATAAACCAGTTTTTTTGTATGGTTATTTATTGTACAAAGATGCAATCACTTTGAAAAGAACACATATAACTGATATAATATTTGCATATTTTGTACACAGACACATAGCAGATACATGCAGGAGTACTGCACTTTACCGGGCACACTTTTTCAGATTAATTAGCGCTGCTGGGGTTCCCTAACCCTGAGGATCGTAAAGGGTGCCTAACCCTAAGGATCGTAAAGGGTGCCTAACCCTAAAACCTAACCCTACAGATCGTAAAGGGTGGCATACCTTAACCCTAAGGATCGTAAAAGGAGCAGCGAGGGCTGCACCCGGTAAAGTGCATTCTAGCCTAACATGCAGATAATACTGTAAGAACGACTAACATTGTATAGAAAATCAGAAGAAAATATGGAGCACCTTTAGAATACAGCACCACAACTTCTCGTGGGGACGATCTCTGCCGTAGGTCACATGTCATTAAGACAAGCAACCAGTTTGTGAGAACCCGTCGGACGCGAACCCGCGACCTTCGGATTGTTAGCTCGACAGCTAACCGATTGAGCTACGTCCACACTGTTGCACAATGTGCAAATTTATCGAGTCATTCCTGTGACGTCACGGAAATGAACGGAAAGAGTCGAATAGGTCACGGACAATTACGAATGCTACGGGTAGACTTGGTGTCATGCGATTTTATTCTACGGACAGTTGCCGAATGGATCCGATGCCATTTGGCACACTCGTCCCATTCCGTAATCTACAAATTAACGTATGGAATGAGCCGATATGCCTCAAACAGAAAAGGGTTGTTGACGCCAGGCGCCAGACGAGATTTCACGGTGTATGCATGAATGACGCTTTTATATAAATCTGTGATTTTGTGACAGAAAAGTGATGTAGGGAACACTGTAAGGATAATGTGGATCGCAATAAGGAACGAGGGAGACATGTAGTGACGGCACGAGGGTGAGTTAGCCTTCGAATCATTACTTTACAAAATTTATGTTGCGTGTGAAAGAGGCTTCAGTGCAAATTCAAGGCCGATTTCCATTAGCCCAAAATTTCTACATTAACCCATTTCATAATGTACTTTCGACGTTTTTTGTGTTTCCCGTTTTTGTGTGAAAAAAAAGTATTAAAATGCAAAAAAGAAAAACAAGAAATGGTACTCACGTATTACACCGGACATGTACCTACTATATTGGATTAGGTCCCTAACCCTAAACCCTCAGCCCTAACCCCTTGAAATAATCCTAATAAATAGAATGCATTGACCGAACCACCGGACATGTACCTACTATATTGCACTAGGTCCCCAACCCCAACCCTAACCCTAACCCTAGCCCTAACCCTAATCCCTTGAATTAATCCTAATAAATAGAATGCATTGACAGAACCGGCACAAACACGACTGACGTGTCTAGTGTAATGCATTATTACCGCTTCGAAATAAAAAATACTAATAAAACACTTTTCTATGTAATGGTGCAACTTACTGAATGACAAAAATATATATGTAAATTTAAAAAATTACAAAATACAAAATACACAACACTTAACACCCCAGCAGCCCGTAATACAAATAAATATGAGCGTATTAGTGAAAAAAGAAAAATATTTCAAACTAGTGCTTGCAAAATATTGAGCATCCGCCGGTATACAACTACTGGAAACTCTCAACATCGTTGGCCTTATGCAATGACATAGCTCGTAGAGATGAAACACCAGTGAGCGGAGCTTATACGCACTCGCTGAGCAAGACAACCGTGTTGCCATGCAGGCGTCATAGGGCATTGTTTCGAGATCGTGCTTTCGAACAAAATCACATTACATTACGTAAAAGGGTATTATGACGTATTTTTAAAGTTTGTGGTGCTGTATTCTAAAGGTAGGCCGAAAATATATTAAAAATATAATGAAATCTGCCCTACCTATCCAGTTTTAAAAAAAAAAGTGATGAGAAACAAGAAATTTATTGTATGTGGCCTAATGTGATAAATCATTCAGGTCGATGCTCATGCTGTTGATCACTGAATTGTCTGGTCCAGACTCGATTTTCTACAGACCACCACCATATTGCTGCAATATTGCTGAGTGCTGCGTAAAAACTCACTCACTCACACTGAAAGGTTGGTTGTAAGTGTCAATTACTCTAATGAAACACAGCAGAAATTGGGCTGGATGAGTTCTCTTTTCGATAACATAATTATACATATTATACACCCAACACCCACAAAACCAAGTTTTATGACGTGGCATTTTGTGACCTCGGAAAACTGACCCATTGTCATGCCTGACGTTTTCAATATAAAAGAAAACGATTTCATATTAAACACGATGTGTACCCCTTCACTCAATGTTCACATCACACTTGACACTTCGCTCAAACTCAGGTAGGGTAATAGTTCTAACCTTGTTTCTGCTTTAGTGAACAGTTTTACTCTCTCCATTTGCTCCAGCTCTGGAAGCATTTCCTCAATACTTTGTTGTACAAACTCTGCCATTTTGAAAGTTGTCTTTTAATACAAAACTCCTGGTTTGCAACGTATGAACGCAGGGTAAATACACCACTCCACGTGTGTTTATACCGGAAGATAGTTAAAATCCGAATGCAACATAAAATCTAAAACTACCACGAAACGAAATAAGATTCGCATTATTATCACGGGTTTTATGAAGATGTTCAACATGTGTGGCATATGTTTGCTCTTAAATTTAAATTAGCTTATTATGTTAGGCGAGAGGCATACAAAGGGAAGGACACTGAAAAACAATTTCAGCCTAATCCCAATTTTGCATTTATTGTTTTTACTGGACAGTCCCGGTTATACATCACGGAAGTGAGCTACACCTGACAACAGACGCGGCGGTTTCAAATCTTACAGATTTAATTATCATGTCCAAAAGAAAACAGGATAACAATTTCGAAAGAAACACTTTAGCCGAAGAGGGGTAATTACTCAGCTCATAAGAAGGCCATCATTAGAATGTATACATCACTGTAACTATCACAGGCCTGCTCTTTCTTCATGCATCCTGGCAAAACAATGGATTCTAGCAAAGGAACACTTCGCAAAAAAAAACCCATCTGAGTGTCTTTTGCTGACTATTTATCTGTGATGCCATTTGATTTAAGTGTTATGGTTACCAATGAAATGTTCATTGTAAGGATATATCCTGGGAAAGAATTCTTGATTTCACCCATGTAATTCAAGAAAGTAAGGTTTGGATAAAAATAATTACATGAATCCCAAAGTAGCCATGAGGCCAAAGGGCTATGGTTTTTAATGGTAAGCAGGTTGAGATGAGTTGGGGCTGCATTTTCTTGGATTTGTTTCTTAAAGAATGCTTCTGACTTTCACATCTTATTCACATATTCCTACTTCTGTCTTATTCATAGGCCCCGCTACTTTTTGAACCCTGAGTCTGTAAGCCACCACCTGTATTGCTCAATATGCCAGGAGGTGTTCTCAGAACCACAGAGGGCCCCATGTGGTCACAGTTTCTGTAAAAAGGTACAACCATACTTTCATTCAGTTTGTTTGTTTGGTATTTAAGGCCATACTCAGCAATATTTCAGCTATATGACAGCAGTCTGTATAATAAAGTCTGGACCTGACAGTCCAGTGATTGACATGACTGGCATCCATCTGCACAACTGGTATTCCACTAAGTCAGCAAATCTGACTAGTGATCACTCCAATCACCTCACCAAGCATGGGTTACTGAAGTTCTAACATGGCTCTTCATGGGCAAGTTTGTTGGGGAAAATCCTGGTCAGTAGGTATATATAATTGGAGGCCAAATCAGTATAAAAATAGACCATACAATTTTTTAAAGTTTTCTGAGTATGTTTCAGTATGTACTAAGCTTGTTGGTCTTATAGTTTACACACAATATTGTTAGCACAATACCTTTAAGTGCAGTTTGTGAGAGATCCTTTTTTTCCAATGTTGATATTTGCCATGTATTATTGCAGTGTATTCTACCCTGGCTGAAACATGGACGGACCTGCCCCGAAGACAGGTGAGGAGGCTCTGGTCTGTACACATGGTGGAGGGGTTAAACAAGGGGAAACTGAGGGACACAGATATAACCAGACACAGATAGAATTCAGTCAAGGATTAGCAGCCTTTTCCACAAAGTGATTTTACAGCTAGCACTTTTGTAATCCTATGCTAAAGAGAGCAGCTATTGTCATCTTAGGCTGTAGAGTTATGACTGTTGTATAGCAATGTTAAGGTAGGAAAGTTACTCGTTTTATGGCTGCTGTAAGTATGGAGGCTACTACTGTCTTAGCTCTATGACTGTTGCAAAACTATGTTAAGGTATGGAAGCTTCTATCGTCTTAGCGCTATGACTGTGGTAAGGCTATGTTTAAGTATGGAAGCTACTAATGTCTTAGCTCTATGACTGTAGTAAGGCTATGTTAAGGTATGGAAGCTTCTATCGTCTTAGCGCTATGACTGTAGTAAGGCTATGTTAAGGTATGGAAGCTTCTATCGTCTTAGCGCTATGTCTGTAGTAAGGCTATGTTTAAGTATGGAAGCTACTAATGTCTGAGCACTGTGACTGTAGTAAGGCTATGTTAAGGTATGGAAGCTTCTATCGTCTTAGCTCTATGACTGTAGTAAGGCTATGTTAAGGTATGGAAGCTTCTATCGTCTTAGCGCTATGACTGTAGTAAGGCTATGTTAAGGTATGGAAGCTTCTATCGTCTTAGCGCTATGACTGTAGTAAGGCTATGTTTAAGTATGGAAGCTACTAATGTCTGAGCACTGTGACTGTAGTAAGGCTATGTTAAGGTATGGAAGCTTCTATCGTCTTAGCGCTATGACTGTAGTAAGGCTATGTTAAGGTATGGAAGCTTCTATCGTCTTAGCTCTATGACTGTAGTAAGGCTATGTTAAGGTATGGAAGCTTCTATCGTCTTATCGCTATGACTGTAGTAAGGCTATGTTAAGGTATGGAAGCTTCTATCTTCTTAGCGCTATGACTGTAGTAAGGCTATGTTTAAGTATGGAAGCTACTAATGTCTGAGCACTGTGACTGTAGTAAGGCTATGTTAAGGTATGGAAGCTTCTATTGTCTTAGCGCTATGACTGTAGTAAGGCTATGTTTAAGTATGGAAGCTACTAATGTCTGAGCACTGTGACTGTAGTAAGGCTATGTTAAGGTATGGAAGCTTCTATTGTCTTAGCGCTATGACTGTAGTAAGGCTATGTTTAAGTATGGCAGCTACTAATGTCTGAGCACTATGACTCGTTAAAATATGGAAGCTACTATTGTCTTAGTGCTATGACTGTAGTAAGGCTATGTTAAGGTATGGAAGCTTCTATCGTCTTAGCGCTATGACTGTAGTAAGGCTATGTTAAGGTATGGAAGCTTCTATCGTCTTAGCGCTATGACTGTAGTAAGGCTATGTTACTGTATGGAAGCTTCTATGTTAGCTATAAGTAAGGCTATGTTTCTATGGAAGCTACTATGTCTTTAAGTTAAAATATATGTCTTAGTAAGCTATGTTTAAGTATGGAAGCTAATGTCTGAGCACTATGACTGTAGTAAGGCTATGTTAAGGTATGGAAGCTACTATTGTCTTAGTAGTAAGGCTATGACTGGAAGTAAGGCTATGTTTAAGTATGGAAGCTACTAATGTCTAAGGAGCACTGTGACTGTAGTAAGGCTATGTTAAGGTATGGAAGCTACTAATGTCTTAGCACTATGACTGTAGTAGGTATGGAAGCTATGTAGCTATGACTGTTAAGGCTATATGGAAGCTACTAATGTCTTGAGCACTATGACTGTGAGGCTATGTTAAGGTATGGAAGTAAGGCTATATGTGACTGTAGTAAGGCTATGTTTATGGAAGCTACTAATGTCTTAGCACTATGACTGTAGTAAGGCTATGTTAAGGTATGGAAGCTTCTAATGTCTGAGCACTATGACTGTAGTAAGGCTAAAAGTATGGAAGCTACTATTGTCTTACTATTGCTATGACTGTAGTAAGGCTATGTTTAAATGGAAGCTACTAATGTCTGCACTGAAGCTAGGTATGGAATCTATTGTCTTAGCTATGACTGTAGTAAGGCTATGTTTAAGTATGGAAGTAAGGCTATGTTAAAATAGGTATGGAAGCTACTAACTAATGTGGTATGGAAGCTTCTATCGCCTTAGCGCTATGGCTGTAGTAAGGCTATGTTAAGGTATGGAAGCTTCTATCGTCTTAGCGCTATGACTGGTTAAAATATGGAAGCTACTATTGTCTTAGCGCTATGACTGTAGTAAGGCTATGTTAAGGTATGGAAGCTACTAATGTCTTAGTACTATGACTGTAGTAAGGCTATGTTAAGGTATGGAAGCTTCTATCGTCTTAGCGCTATGACTCGTAAGGCTATGTTAAAGTATGAAAGTAGCACTAACTAATATGGATTGATAGAACAGAATGCAGGCATATGTATATTTGTGACTATATATATTTTACTACCACAAATACAATGTAGGATTGTTCTTATAATGAGATGTATACTGGATGTAACACTCAGTAGCAAATCCAGGTGTTCTTCTTACACTTTGGATAAGTTCACATACAAAAATTACAAGAAGAGGGACCTTCGTTTCCTGCTGACTTGTATCATGAGTCATTTACAAATGTACCAGCACTTGTGGTTTACGGCAGTTCCTTCTGTTGAGTTGCATCCCCTTGCCCTGCCAGGATCCACTGATTATGGGTTTCACTACACGTGTTTTACCTCAAGTACTGCTGAAAGTGATGTTGAGTCACCTTTATGATGTAACTGACATCCATATGTTTTGTACAGGAAACCCCTCCAAGCCCACCAGCTCCACAATGACTTTATCCTGGAGAACATCATTGGGGACCAGATGGTATATACCTTTGTGTGTTGTTAAATGCAGAACTTGCAGTATTCCACCTATATCATTGTAGTGTCTTATTGTTCAAGGTATAATGATGTAGAGGCCATAACGTTTCTGTGTACCAAGATCAAATTTTAACCACAGGCCTTCTGATCTTAATCCACATGACCAAAGCTTAATTGAAATGACCACACTATTATGTATGTATCAGATGAACTGCATGATCAATTATCAGTTTATTACATCCCAATTGTGAATGTAAATACCTGGATCCTTTCACCACCCAAAGCTTCAGCTTGGAAGTGTCATTCCCATCTCCACCCACTAACTTCACACAGGACTTCTCTTGCTCTTTTTTCTTGAGGGCTTGTTTCTAGTATCATGCTTTTCAAACTGGGTTCCAAACAAAGCAGTGGCGAAAAACGGTCCCAGTGTATGTATGACGATAGAGTGAAGACAGCAAGGACTGGAAAGTCGTGGATGATTGAAATGTTTAGGTCAGTGTATACAATGGCAGATTAACTTTAGTAATGTGAAAGAATGTTCCTCTGAGTGGTATATGTTGTTGTAAGGTGACTCATTGTAACTGTTGTAGTCTGTAGTTGATGTTGTAGTAACCCCTGGTGCTTGTCTGTGCCAGGTGGCCTGTCCCCACAGAGGTGCTGGCTGTGAGTTTGTGGGGCAGCTCCAGCAGCTAGCTTCACACAAGAAGCACTGTGACTTCAACCCGTGCAACCTCCCCGAGTTTGTGCTGAAGAACACATCCGACAGTCTGACTACCCCTCCCTGCGGCCAGCTGGATGAAGATGTTGTGCCATCCCCGGGAAAGCCGTCCCTAATGTTGAGGTTGTTCCGATCCGGGGAGTCTCAGAAGCAGCTGCTGAAGTCCATGTTTGATGGCAAGGAAAACAAGCCTTCCTGACAGACCATTTCCTGAACGACCCTTCCATATGTCATTATCTAAATGGATTTTCTCACACTCATAAGAACATGAGATCAATCATTATGACTTTGGGTTTTGTAAGTTAGAAAAATTAGTTTGACAGCCTGGAGAAATGAAAATCAGGGACTCGATCAAGAAAAAAGTAGAGCCACTTGTTGGGGTGTTGTGTGCATCATGTAAAACCTGCTGACCTCTTCCAATCCGGGGTTCCATGATACACCTGGAATATCACTCAAAGTTGTATGAAATCAATCTCTTTCATTCCTGTGCTTACCTTAAAACACCCTGCCTCATTTTCAAACCCACCCGCTTATATTCATTTACATCAGAAAAGAGAACAAAGGACTTTTATGAGTTATGAACAATGAATTGGCAGAATCTGTCACAGTATCTGCAAATCCCCTATAATAAGCTTCCACTCAAAGTTGCTCGAGAGAATCCCATGGTTTGTTCTTTTTGTATATACTTGAAAGATCAGTTTTGTAGATCATGGACAGACAAGATAAGAATATCCGACTTGAAAGTACGGTAGTACATTCATCCAGTTTGGTGCAGATTTTGGTTGTTACTGTGTAAAGTACTTGTAGAGACCTGAACAGTGATATCACCAGGCATGATATCCAATATTACATTTTACTACATAAAGTACACATGCATCACATCGTACATTGATTTGCTCATTGTAGTCCAGTCTCCTCCAGTATTTTGTTTTTTTTACAAAATTATCTCTGATATCTGGGTATAAATCTGCCCTACCTGCAACAGTTTACTGTCCGGGGAGAATTTTCCCTAAATCTGGAGATTTTATTACACGGGTCATTTTTGTAATACATGTATGCACAAATTATACTACCATACAACAATTGTAAATAGCATGTCAGTGACATACAAGAGTGCTAAGTTATTGTATTTGAATGTATTCAGATGTTTTTCACTGGTGCATGTATTCTGTAATAAATCAAAGATGTGTCATCTTTCCTAGTTGTATATCTATAGTGGTCTAAAGCTCTTCCGTTGACTGTGCAGAGTTACCTCCCTTAGCAGTCATGATCTGCTGAATATAAGTTCCAATCCCTGACTCACTCAAACTATTGTAATCTAAGGTCTGTCAACATCATGGCCATGTTTTTTTCAAAAGTAGTTCTGTTGCTGCTGTATGGCTGAGACAGTGTTGATGTGATGTTCCAAGCAGCACTATCACCAAACTCAGGTTAGTGTTTGGTATCACAGCGATCAGTAAAGAAATCCCAAACTTGTACCGATTCATATCAGGATGCAGTCTCTTTTGGGTGACCAATGCTAAAATGCTGATGGTTGTGATATGGCTGAAATAGAATAACTGATGAAACATTACTATAGTAACATGATCTTCCTTCCTTAAAATGCCTCATTACGAAAATAACAAACTCTTGAAATGTTTTGACAATTTATGTCATAAAATGCCCAGTATGCAAACAATACATATCCTTGGTGATGGATGTCCCACTTTTCGTAAAAACAAACAAATGAAATAAGTTAACAAGCATACTTCCACTGCAGTCATTTTCTCACATTCAAGTACATGGTAATACTCAACAAGACAGTCTTAGTTCAAAGACAACAACAATAGCAAAAACAACAAAGAAAACTCAATTCAGCTTTACAAATTCAGAGTACTTCTCTGGGTCCAACACTGAGAAATAAGTTACATGCCTGATAACATACTGTTTTCAGTCATATTTTGTCCCCCATGTTTCAAATGTTACGTAAGTGTCGAACACGCTTGTCTGTTATGATGGGTGTGTGTGTGGTGGGGACCCTGGTGGTTGGATAGAATAACTTATATATGATGAGCCCCCAAACCCCCTCCATCCTCAGCTGTAACAGTACCAGTGTATAACCAGAACAGTCACTGAGGTTGTCTCCTCTACAAGGGATGTAAATATACATCTCATGGCAATACAACATTGTAAGTTTGATGACATACATGAACATATAATGCATGAAACTAGGAAGAAACATTTCCATCAAAGAAAACTGAGTTAGTTGCTCGATACAAACATTCAGTAGTCAGTTAACAAACCCTGGATTCATACCTCTTGTACATTAACATGAGAATATAACACTTTACAATTTATGTTCACATATACTCACCATCAAAAGTTAAAGACTCACTAGTGTAAATGTAGACACTTACTTCAGTCAATGGTTCTTAACTAGATCTTGCAAAATATTCCATACTGTTTAAAGGTACTGTTTACACATGAACTGATGTATTGTAAAACAAATTCATAACGATGAAAAGATTATTGTCATGAGTTCAATAAATGATGAAAATTGGTGAATTCTTATCAAAACCTTACACCAAAACGCAGCTGTTCACATGCACAATCTTTGTACATGAATTTCACCAATTTGATCCATGATCCTCGCAATTCATCTGCATAAGGTTTGCAGTTGGTTCCCCAAAGTTTGTTGAGAAATTCATCTTGGATGTAACTGTATATATATACATAACATATAGCGTGTGCTTTAAGTGAGTCTAAACCTTTGATGGGTAGTATATATAACTGTATTGACACTGGACCTATTCATTCCAGATTTCTGTCATGGCAGAGCGGCATGCACTATATGCTTGTTGCATCACAACACATTTTCACCTTTGTACATGTCTTTAGCAAACACCACAACTGTAGTAATAACACCCTCGAACATATCTGTAGTGAACACCACAACTGTAGTAATAACACCCTCGAACATATCTGTAGTGAACACAACTGTAGTGATAACACCCTTGAACACATCTGTAGTGAACACCACAGCAACACCCTCGAACACAACTAATCAATACCGCTGTGATGTTCATAACACCCTAGAACATATCTGTAGTGAACATCACAGCTGTAGTGATAACACCCTTGAACACATCTGTAGTGAACACCACAGCAACACCCTCGAACACAACTGTAATCAATACCGCTGTGATGTTCATAACACCCTTGAACACATCTGTAGTGATAACACCCTTGAACACATCTGTAGTGAACACCACAGCAACACCCTCGAACACAACTGTAATCAATACCGCTGTGATGTTCATAACACCCTAGAACACATCTGTAGTGAACATCACAGCTGTAGTGATAACACCCTTGAACATATCTGTCATGAATTGAACAGCTATATTGAAACCAATAACACTCTCACACATTACTGTGGTGAACACCACAGCTGTAGTGATAAGGCCCATTCAACGTATCTGTAATAACACACTACATCACAGCTGAATACACAACCCTTACATATACAGCTGTAGTACTGACAACAGACAATAAGCCTCATCAGTGAGGCAAGGCAAGTTAAACACGATATGCACATCCCACACAGACATAGCTACATCTTGTTATTATGTCAAACACATATAAATACACACAATGCAACACATTTTATATACTAAGTCAAAAACGAATATCTTTCAAAATGCATATGGACTATAGTGGCTATCAATATATCACATTGCTTGTGGATATTTAATCCCCAAAAATATCACAATGATAAGAGCACAAGGCTGACGGCCATGGATCAGATCCAGCACTTGTATTCCCTACAGCACGGGTGGCTCAGTCATGTAAGGCCTCGCAATTGGCTGTGCACAGTAGCGTTCCTCAGGTGTGCGAGAAACCTCTGGGTTGTGGGTTTGAACCCGGACCACTCTGATCATGTTTATAGGTTTGCCAGCACCATACCCATGCTAATGGGTTTCGCCATAGTGATTAAATAATGGCATCACTTTGAGTTCCCCTCCCTCCCTGATGCTGTGATATAACATACACTGTTCAAAGCAGCTTTAAACTTGACTCCCTCGCTCCTACTTTACCATCTCTCAGTTAGATAACATCTCATATAAAATCACAGGCAATTAACACCAACATTGTATCTAATCTGTCACTACAAAAGATATTTTTTAACTGGGACATGATTCAAAATTGACTTGTCTAAATAAATAAGTGGTTTAAAAACTATTTACCATTTTGTTTTGGCATCATTTTTAACTTTGAAATGATTAAAAATTCATGTATGTCATTACAAAAAAGTGGTAAAAAACCTACTATTATCTTTAACAGTGAATGATTCAAAATTGATTTACCCCAAAATTTACAAGACAATAATAAATCAAAATAATAAAAACACAAAAACGGGAAAAAGTAACACATGAAAACAATACTTGGTGCTAAAAGCCTGCATCAAACCAGATTCCCTCCCTCTTCTCCAGTACTTTGGTAGTTTCATGAAGCACCAGTTGACAAATCTAAATGTGTTCCACAAAAAATACTCTGAAGATACTATATAGATCCTGATATGCACTGTAAGCTTATCACAACCCGTCACACGTCACATGCTGACTGACAAACATCGGACAAACATTGTACACAAACATATATCTTGTTGGTGTGTTCTAAATGCACACCGCATATATACATCAACAAAGCATACACAAGTAGATATATAGATAAATATCTTCAAGTAAACCTCAGGGATCATCTGCTAGAAGATCTATAGCACCTGTCTTCTAGTTGATCTATGGTTAATATCTTCTAGCTGACCTATGGTATCTATCTTCAAGTTTACTCATGCTACATATATAAGTTGGCACGTGAATCAATCTTGAAGTAGACATATTATATCTGTCTTCATGTACAGCCATCATAACTATTAAAATCTTCAACTGGCCTCTGGTATCTAAGGCCTTTCAAGGTATCTAGTTGACCTATGGTGGAGGCCTCTGGTATTTACATGATCTAAGGCCTGTCTTGGCCTAGTTGACTTATGGCGTGGCCTCTGGTATCTAAGGCCTGATTAGGTCTAGTTGACTTATGGAGTGGCCCCTAGTATCTAAGGCCTGTCTAGGACTAGTTGACTTATGGAGTGGCCTCTAGTATCTAAGGCCTGTCTAGGTCTAGTTGACTTATGGAGTGGCCTCTGGTATCTAAGGCCTGTCTTAGGTCTAGTTGACTTATGGAGTGGCCTCTGGTATCTAAGGCCTGCCTAGGTCTAGTTGACTTATAGTTGACTTATGGAGTGGCCTCTGGTATCTAAGGCCTGTCTAAGGCCTAGTTGACTTAGGTGGCCCTAGTTGACTTATGGAGTGGCCCCTAGTATCTAAGGCCTGTCTTGGTCTAGTTGACTTATGGAGTGGCCTCTGGTATCTAAGGCCTGTTTAGGTCTAGTTGACTTATGGAGTGGCCTCTGGTATCTAAGGCATGTCTAGGTCTAGTTGACTTATGGAGTGGCCTCTGGTATCTAAGGCCTGCCTAGGTATTTAGTTGACGTATGGAGTGGCCTCTGGTATCTAAGGCCTGTCTAGGTATCTAGTTGACTTATGGAGTGGCCCCTAGTATCTAAGGCCTGGTTAGGTCTAGTTGACTTATGGAGTGGCCTCTGGTATGTAAGGCCTGTTTAGGTCTAGTTGACTTATGGAGTGGCCCCTAGTATCTAAGGCCTGTCTTGGCCTAGTTGACTTATGGCGTGGCCTCCCTTTATCTAAGGCTTGATTAGGTCTAGTTGACTTATGGAGTGGCCTCTGGTATGTAAGGCCTGTTTAGGTCTAGTTGACTTATGGAGTGGCCTCTGGTATGTAAGGCCTGTCTAGGACTAGTTAACTTATGGAGGGGCCTCTGGTATCTAAGGCCTGTCTAGGTCTAGTTGACTTATGGAGCGGCCTCTGGTATCTAAGGCATGTCTAGGTCTAGTTGACTTATGGAGTGGCCTCTGGTATGTAAGGCCTGTTTAGGTCTAGTTGACTTATGGAGTGGCCCCTAGTATCTAAGGCCTGTCTTGGCCTAGTTGACTTATGGCGTGGCCTCCCTTTATCTAAGGCTTGATTAGGTCTAGTTGACTTATGGAGTGGCCTCTGGTATGTAAGGCCTGTCTAGGACTAGTTAACTTATGGAGGGGCCTCTGGTATCTAAGGCCTGTCTAGGTCTAGTTGACTTATGGAGCGGCCTCTGGTATCTAAGGCATGTCTAGGTCTAGTTGACTTATGGAGTGGCCTCTGGTATCTAAGGCCTGCCTAGGTATTTAGTTGACGTATGGAGTGGCCTCTGGTATCTAAGGCCTGTCTAGGTATCTAGTTGACTTATGGAGTGGCCCCTAGTATCTAAGGCCTGGTTAGGTCTAGTTGACTTATGGAGTGGCCTCTGGTATCTAAGGCCTGATTAGGTCTAGTTGACTTATGGAGTGGCCCCTAGTATCTAAGGCCTGTCTTGGCCTAGTTGACTTATGGCATGGCCTCCCTTTATCTAAGGCTTGATTAGGTCTAGTTGACTTATGGTGTGGCCTCTGGTATGTAAGGCCTGTTTAGGTCTAGTTGACTTATGGAGTGGCCTCTGGTATGTAAGGCCTGTCTAGGACTAGTTAACTTATGGAGTGGCCTCTGGTATCTAAGGCCTGGTTAGGTCTAGTTGACTTATGGAGGGGCCTCTGGTATCTAAGGCCTGTCTAGGACTAGTTGACTTATGGAGTGGCCTCTGGTATCTAAGGCCTGTCTAGGTATTTAGTTGACTCATGGAGTGGCCTCTGGTATCTAAGGCCTGCCTAGGTATTTAGTTGACTCATGGAGTGGCCTCTGGTATCTAAGTTCTGCCAAGGTCTTGACTACTAGTACTTTTTCTTTCAGTAGACAAATAAAATCTATCCTTAAATAGTCAGTAGGTATCTATCTTAAAGTAGGCCTTTTGTACCGATATTCAATACATACTATATATTTGTATAAGACTAATCATTGAGGAGGTTCAGAGCAGCTGAACTCAGAATGACAATACATCCGTAGCAGTGAATCAACAGTTTGGCATAACATGTGCTGGTAATATATGAACGTATCTGTAACACATGCAAGACATAGTATCATAGTTGTAATCTCTCCTATCTATCATAAGCTAATTAAACAGATTGCACCAGGATCACTAGCTTACATAACCAGAAGCATGGCACATTTACTCTCTCACTGTGGTAAATATATTAAGTGTACAATGAATATAATCCTTTGGAACAAAGTGTGACCTTATTATTAGTTTCATGTAGTAACTGCGGTCTGATCACGAGCATCCCAGGAGATACATGGACAGTAAACATTTATTATGTGCCCAAACCTTGCTGAAGATTTCTTGTAATTGGACAGTGCCTTGCTAAACCAAGTGTGCTTCACAAACTCCTCAATGAAATGTGCTCTGACAAGTAAATCTCTGAGATTATACTGATAACTAATTTCTTGAATTTCTGTGCATAGTTGCTAAATTCCTGAACTATATGTGCCTGGAAAACATTGGACCACTAGCCTCTAAGATTACATGGATCACTAGTCTTATCCTTCTCTCTATCACAGTCAGTATCTAGGGACATATCGATCCCCTTCTATCATAAAATCAGCGTTGGATATCGGAGTTTAATTGAGTAATTTGGTACACGCCCCTGTCCTACTATTTCTATTCTATCACAATACATGGTGGCTGTCCCAAAAGCATTGTTCCCTGGCTCTGTCTCGATAACAGCTGGGAATGTGATGTGTAGAATACCTCCACTGTCAGTAGCAGACCCTCCTTCATGGTCATGACCTGCCATGTAGGCCGACACGCATGAGTGTTTGTAGATGACACGCAGGATGTCCTCATAGTTCCAGCACAGGCAGGATACGTCAGCACTTGCAGGAAATATGGGGATGTGACCTGCAACAGATATAGTACACATGAGACCCAACCTTGGGTACATCAGCAGAAGGATTATTCAGTGAGATGTTCTAGTGTGCTATAAAAGGTTAAAACAACCATTCCGTCTTAAAAACTTTGTAATATTGTAACATGTATTCAAAGATCACAACCGAATTCAGATATCCATGTAACAGGTAAAATCTTATTGATAAAGACCCGATTGCAGGGGTCACAACCAGACCATTATTCACCCTTAAATCATTTATTTACAAATGATAATAATAACCACTCAAAACTTCATTCATCTTGGATAATGATATAATTTCTTTTTAAATTGTCATACTAATTAGGGACCTGTGTTTACCAGATGTACTCACCAATAAGTATAACGTTTTCTCTGTTTGAGTCCGCCTCCAATAGAACTTGATCTAGCCATTCAAGTTGACTACTAGTAACCCCTCCATTATATGCCACAAAGCGTCTATCTGTTCCCATTCCATGCGGTTCATTCTGGTCGGCATTTGTATTTCTCTGTAAGATTCTCTTTGCTTCGTCATGTTCAGGGGTATTTTCAGGAGTACCGATAACACTCATTTCATAGCAGTCAAGAGCCACAATGCGCAGTGCAGGTGAGGCAAGAAATGTGTAGAATGCTTTGCCTGCAACTCCTTTACAGTTGACACGTGCTGCAGAGTTGAGGGCAGATTTAAGAAGGAAATCTTGAGAGAAGTTGTAACATTCATGATTGCCTATAACATGATAAACAGATTTCCTTAGGCTTGCCAAAGGTGCCATGACTGCCATAAGGGCAGTTCTAGATGCGTCATCCTTTTTGTTTTTCCCATCAATAATGTCCCCTAATTGCAGGACAAAATCAACCTTGGGTTGACAATCTCTCCAGTAGTTTACAGCATTTTTCAACAGGTTCAGCGAGTTTCTGTAGTATCTCTGACGAGTACCATGGAAATTATAACTGTCATCGATATCAGCATACTGAATATCTGTTATGATGCCAAAAGTAGGTGCTGGAAGAGCCTTTGGTGTTGGGGAAGACATCCTTCACGCCTGCAACCAGGAATATGGATTTATAGAATTACACAAAACTTGTTTTCCTAATTACTTGGGATTTTGTTTTTTAACTTTTTCAACTGAAACCTATATTTACATGCAAAGAAGATGATTCAACAAGGTAAACTGAGGAAAGAGAAGAAGACAAATAATGGATAAAAAGGCAGAATATGCTACATGCTGTTGTTGTGTCAGAATCAAAGTGTCTCAAAGGACTTTACCACATGCATTTTGTCAGAGGTAGTTTTTGAATCTTGCAATGTATTTTTGAACATATAAGTCTCACGTTGGATATAATATCATCTGAGGTTAAATAAGGTAGAATTAAGGTTGAGCTTATCTTTGTTTAGGTGTGTTATTACTGATGTATATCATGTTGTTCAGAGCAGGTCTATTATGATGTACAGACTGTGATTGTGTAATGTTGCTGACTCAGTGGCTCAGTTTTATACCAAGGGACCGTTCATAATTTATGGGTGGGGATGGGCGGGGTTTAGTGATGATTTTAAGGGGGGTCACCCATTTTGTTCTGGGCATGTAGGGGGGTCATCAATTTTGTACACATGTACTAGGGGGTTCAGCAATTTTGTACATAAAAACATTACAAAAATATGCTTAGAAATTATGGGTGGTGGGGGTGTCATTGATTTTGTACATGACACGGATCAGCCATAAATTATGAATGGTCCCTGAACCTCAACATTCACTTATCTTTTTTTCCTTTAATTACTCTGCTTTAATCTGCCATGTATACTATTCTGCTATCAATACTGGGTTAGGATAAGGAAGTAGTCTTACAACTGTACAATCATCATAAACAATGACACTCACTTCTTAGCTCATCGCAATGACAACATCGTAGACTAAAGATATGTCGATACAGAATTCACAGGAAGAGCTAGGAATAGTAGGATCTCTCTTTAAACATCATACTTATTATCGGAGACGTATCTAAAACGCATAGATGATCGGATACACAGTTATACATATACATCCTGGTCTCACATGTCAGATTGTGTAACGCTACTATATAGCACTTACTGTATGGTGTATGACCCTCACACTTGGGGCCGTTTCCAAGGCTGAGATCAAGATCCAGCAAACTTGTGGGACGCGTAATTTTCGCTAAAATTTCACCTTGGATTACAGTTCTCTCAAACCATTCTCGGGACAAACTGCTGACATTCTTCTTCTGTTCGTCTTGAGAAATGACAACGTTCCAGACAACGTTCAACTTATTGCGTTTAACGTACAGACTTACAACATGACAGGAAATATTTAACACCGGATATGAGAACATTTCTAACTTTATCCTACGGGAATGTATCAAGGGACGCTACTCTGTAGACACTGCAACAACAAAACGCCATACTGTTCACGGGTAGTGATTCTACTGAATGAATTTGTCTCACAATCGAAGTATAACAAAAGTATCACAATTAAAGAATCGAGTCTTGGCCAGTCAATATAGAGACTGACATCATGAACATCTTCCTACCATATGTATACGATTGCATGCACCACCAACACCGGGTGTCTGTCCATCCGCTCCCATTTGGTCACCTAGCTCTTAGGGCAAACGTTCAATGTTTGTTTGTTGTGTAAGGCCGCACTGAGCACTATTCCAGCTGTATGGTGGCTGTCTGTATATAACCGAGTCTGGACCAGACAATCCAGTGATCAACATCATAAGCATCGATCTGCGCGTAATGGGATACGATGATATGTGTCAACCAAGTCAGCGAGCCTGACCACCCGATCTCGATCCCGATGTCGCCTCTTACGACAAGCATGGGTTGCTGGAGACCAATTTTAACCCGGAACTTCACGGGTCGACAAGAATTCAAATTCGGATCTTCATGAGTTAGAATCTCAAAATATTTAGACATTAACTGAATATAGGAAGACCTGACCGTAGAACATATTTTCTATTTCTGTTTGTTTACTGAATACAAACTAGGGTGGGGCGGGTCCAAATTTTCTACACGGGTACCCCGCCCCCTATACCCGTTATGTTGATTCCTGACATCAAATTTGTAACAAAAGACAATATATTTTTCATCTCGGAGGCTAATATCTTATCCATGCAGTATATTCAAAAGAAGTGACTTTAACTATGTCTAAATCTTCAAAGATAATACAACCTTTTAATCATGAAAGAATAACATATTACATTGTTTAATCTATTTGTCACATGATCAAAACGGGTTCGGGCATTGAGACGGGTCCGGGTCTAACTCATTACCCACCCGTCCTGGGTATCCGGGTTACCCGTCCCAGCCGTAATACAAACGAAAATCAACAGAAACATGAAAAGTAAATCTCACAGAGAAAAAGCATAAAACAGAAAATTACATTCAAACACACAAAACAAAATCACCTTTACAATTCACCTGTGTCCTTTGTGAATTAGTTTCTAGTGTGGTCTCATATATACCCCAGAAAAACTGCACAAGGATTTGTGGAATTGGCGAATCACGTGTCAAACATGTCCATTGCACGCATGCGTGATGAGCATTCCACGTACTCCACGTTGGTAGGATTAGATATACAGATTCTACTGTGTACTTGCTACTACGTATGATGTACGGTACAGTACAATTTCCTGCCGAATATATGTATGTTCCTGCTGTGATATATATTATGTATACTATCCAAAGAAAAGCAGGGGATATTCGAAAATAGATGATTACACGAAGACAAAGATGCGTTTATCGAGTGATGGTTTAGGATGTACATATAAGGAAGATGAAGGACAAGATGTAGTCTACAACGTAGCGGTGTGTAGTTTGATCGTCTGATCTTGCAAGGTAGATACAAGACTTGTCACGCCTTTCTCTCAACGTGATGCTGAAACCGTTTTCTTGCATTCTGAAAAAGTGGCTAACAATTTGAAATGGCCTGAGAATATGGGGAGCATGTTCTTGCAAAGCGTATTTAGGAGAGGAACTAAGGAAGTTTTTATTTTCAAACATGTTGATAGGAGTTTTTGAGTGTTAAGGCAACAGTTTTGAAGGCTTATGAATTAGTTCCTGAAGCTTACAGGCAAATGTTTAGGTCTGCTAGGATTTGCTTGTTTGTTAGTTGTTTAACGCTGCACTCAGCAATATTCCAGCTATATGGCGAGGGTCTGTAAATAATCGAGTTTGGATCAGACAATCCAGTGGTCAACATCTTGAGCGTCAATCTACGCAATTGGGAACCAATGACATGTGTTAACTAAGTCAGCGAGCCTGACCACCCTATCTCGACAAGCGTGGGTTGCTGTAGACCAATTCAAACCCGGAACTTCACGGGTCAGAAAAGCGATGGTAATACTTTTGTTGTTTCCTAGGGCGAACAACAATTTTGTTTGATAGGTGGTGTACTCAGAAGAGGTCAACGGTGATTTTGATCGTTTAAGGCTGGTTAAAAGATAACCGAGTTTTGAACAACCGGACCCAGTCTACTACTTCGACTCAGACTCATAACAATAATACATGTATAAGGAGTTACTGAGACTGACAAGGAGTTACTGAGACTGACAAGGAGTTACTGAGACTGACAAGGAGTTACTGAGACTGACAAGGAGTTACTGAGACTGACAAGGAGTTACTGAGACTGACAATGAGTTACTGAGACTGACAAGGAGTTACTGAGACTGACAAGGAGTTACTGAGACTGACAAGCAGTTACTGAGACTGACAAGGAGTTACTGAGACTGACAAGGAGTTACAAGCAGTTACTGAGACTGACAAGGAGTTACTGAGACTGACAAGGAGTTACTGAGACTGACTGACAAGAGTTAGTTACTGAGAGACTGACAAAGGAGTTACTGACAAGCAGTTACTGAGACTGACAAGCAGTTACTGAGACTGACAAGGAGTTACTGAGACTGACAAGGAGTTACTGAGACTGACAAGGAGTTACTGAGACTGACAAGGAGTTACTGAGACTGACAAGCAGTTACTGAGACTGACAAGCAGTTACCGAGACTGACAAGGAGTTACTGAGACTGACAAGGAGTTACTGACAAGGATTGAGATGAAGGCGTTCATTTGTTGTTGTTTGCTGTTGGACATTCAGTTTAAGAGTTCTTAGGTTTCTGGGTCCCGATCCACAAACATACGTAACGTTACGACCTGTCGTAACACTATAGTTTATCATAGGCTTACGGATGTCGTAGCGCTACGAATGCTTTGTGGATCGGAACCCAGTCCTGTTGACCTTGCCTTTGGTGAAACTATTCTTGTACCTTCTATACCAGGACTTTGCAATGAATTGATCATAAGTCTCAAATGAGTTTGTTTTAAAATTTCGTAGTTTCGAACTAAGCTTTTGAAAGCCTTAGAAGTTGCTGAGGATAATTTGAAAGAACCCCAGGGCAAGATGAAAATACAATATGACAAGAAGTCTCACGAGAGAAATTTCAGTCCTGCGATAAAGTGTTAGTGTTTTTGCCTATCCCAGGTCAACCATTACGAGTTAGAGTCATATGTTATTGATAAGACAGTCAATGATACCTACCATGTTGTTCCAACACCAGACCGGAAAAAGGCACAGCTTTGTCATTTCCATATAATAAGAAAGTATCATGTAGGGAATGACAAGGTACCTACTTAGTATGTTGCCCCTGTCTTGTAGAGCTGTTTCAGACTGTGATACGTATGGGAGATGTGACTTTGTAAAGTTCGGTGGTCGATGGTATAGCCCTAAGTTACGCAATTATGAATGTTTAGCTAACTCAGATGTTGAGCGAAAAGCTCAAGTGTCAGAGTAAATTCAAGAGTTCATTATTTTTGTTTCCGGATATGCTTGGCTGTACCAATGATGTCATGATGAACAAGAACACACAAACCACCTTCCGGCGTCTCACCAACGGAATTATGGGTAATATAGTGTCGCCTACATCAGGGATACATCTACAGAGATCCGTGCCTTCTTCGAAAGACTGACTGAAGCCAAGCAGACTGTGAGTTTAGCAACATGTGAATTTACACAGGCACATGTACATTTTAAAGTCATGTCATAGGCTAGGGTCAGGTACAGCAGGTTCCAGCCAAGGTGGAATCCATTTGATTATAGGAACCTATGAGATTTCTGTGAATGGAGGGTTACTACCATACAGTTTGTCGAAGTTTCTCACTTGTGGCAGCCCCTCTCACTAATGTACTTGGCAAAGCAGCGAAATTGTCTTTGGACAGCAACTGTCAGACTGATTTTGACAAAATGATGGCCAATCTCACGAATTCTACTGTTCTCCAGGCTGGCTAGTGACATCGACGCTGGAGCTGTCCTGTTGCAGGTTTTGATCATCCTTGCTACTTTTCAAGGGAATGAAACAAACATCAGAGAAATTGTGAAATTGTTCCACCATTGAATGAGAAACTCTTGCTCTGTTGTGAGTCATGCAGCAGAGCGTGGAGTCATCCCATAGGCGACATCCCAGGTACAATAATTTGATGTGTACCTTGTACTACATTGTTTCTAATGCAAGTGTACACTGATTACAATCCACTTACTTATTCATAAAATGAAGAACAAAAAGAGATTGTCTTTGGAGGAATTTGATTTAAACATCAAACATATCAAAGGCAAAGACAATGTTATCGATGATTCATTATGACAAGTTGGTTGATGTGGTTAGTTCTGACTGCAGACATGATTTGCATGTGTGTAAACATATCTCATAATTATGCATAACGCGGGGTTGTAAGTCATCCGTCCACGTACAGGTATGATATATTAATATCCTCATCATGTCTAACACGGACGTGTGTATGTGAGGTGGGTACAAAACTGCTTAAAACGCGCTGTGTTTACATGGAAGGAAGTGTCTCTGTTCTATATTTCCACGTGATCTTGGCACGTGATATTGGGACATTTATGTTCGTGCGAATGCTGTTCAGTTTTTGTACACTACAGAACCGATGAAAGGTATTCAATCTATGCTTGTACTGCCTTCATAGCTAGGTGATCAAATTTTGACAGTTGAGCTTTACAGAGTGAAGTTTCCCAGTTTATTAAACCAACTAAACTCCACATTGCAACCAAAATAGAATTATCCGCTACCACTATACATAAAATGTTTGCATATATTTGAAATATTGATACGTTATTTTGAACTGCCGAAACAGTGTCCAACTAACTAATTTCTTTGGATACCTGTTATTCTTTGTTGGAGAAAAACAGGTGTTTGTCATGGGTCACAGTTCGGACTGTTACTGGTAGCAAATGAAGCGAAGGTACAATATCGTCGTGTTACAGCAGGTTAATCAACCAGCCTCCAATGATTTTTGTGA